CTGCAGGTTAATTTCGCCATTGATAGTGTTGCTATTGAAATGCATAATTTCGAGTCATGAACCGCTCCGAGTAAAACGCCACAGGTTTCCATCTCTTCCAAATTGCAATAGTTATGACGTGAATGCAGCATAAGCTCGTTGTTTTGGTTCAGGAGGAACTGTAAAATGTGTCTGCTGTTTGTTTGCAGGGCTCGGTCTTGCGGAGTTATAAAAATACATACGTGGATAGGTAAGTTGGACATCATATCATTGCATTCGGACCTAATGCAATGATTGGATTAACATTTTATGGTCCTACGCCTTCCACAGACGATATATATATATATATATATATATATATATATATACACATATAAATGCATTTAGGCCACTTAACTTAGTGATTGATATCAGGATGTGCAGAGACTTTTAACCAGCAAAACAAAAAATAATTCTAGAAGAAATCGTCTACCCTACCTGGGACCTTATTTGTAAAGTTTTCTTACTAAAAAAAACATGCAATAAAGTGAGCAAAAGAGAATGTTATTTGCATTACAATATGACAAACAAATATATGTATTTGAAACATAAACTTTGAGATGTTTTGCACTTAAAAGTCAGAAGTTCAGTGAAAACAATATTTGTCCTAATCAAGAAGTGAACAGAATTGAAGGAAACTATTTAAGTAGATCTTTATGCCATGTTCTAGGGCGATAGCTACTATTGGCAGATATTGAATGTGACATAATTTGCTAAATGGGTGTGAAACTGCATAATATTGACTTGCATTGGATTGACTATTATTCAAAGATGTCTTTTCTTTATTGAATTCTGTCGGACTATAATTGTCTCTGGGACAGTATGAATGACAGCTTGACAGCTACATTTTAATTACATTTTAAGGGAGGCAAAGTTTTTGGAACTTATTTGCAGCTAACACTGAAAACTGAACAATGTAATCTAAAAAATGCAGCCGATACACAAGGCAATTTGTCTTGTGCTATTTGAGGATGTGTTATCTTGTTCCTTTTTTGTCCCCAGAATTGTGCTAATAGATACATCCATTGGAAGGGAAAGAAAAACGTGATTGTCATGCTAATCCAGAGAGCTGTCCATCAATTTATTTATTTATTTATGTATCTCGGCTTCAGTGCTTCTTTCTTTTTTAATGTCTTTAATATATCGCCATCTAGTGAACAAAGATATCACAGCAAATCTAGTGTGCGTCACACAACTGACTGGTTTAATAATAATGATTTTAAATGATTTTAGATACATTTAAAATAAAATAATAATTTTATTTAATTGTCCAATAACCTCGTGCTCAATACTTCACAGTGTTGTTAACAACTTTAACGCATTTAATGAAAAAAACTATAAGTTACCTTCGTGTTAAATTAAAAAATATATATATGAAGAAAGGTTATTTTAAATCATTAAACGATTACATCACATAATCATAAACCATGTGAACATAACCATAACCTATGTAAATGTAAAGCCGTTACCAAGACGGAACTTTTATCCCGTCAAATATTCGCATACGGAATGATTACGGTGGAGTACGACTTCCTGTGACGTACGAGACATTTTCCACAGTAAAGAGAATGCCAAAAGAAAACAAACAAACAAACTGCGAAAAATGTATTTCGACTCTATTAAACGTAATATTTAGTTGTGTTAAGATTAAGTCACGAACATAGACTGTCACGAATCACTGACTGAATACACGAAATCTCATTTATTTTGTAATGAAGTATCGTCAACGGCCAGGTCCTTTAAGCCGTAGTTTTTTTACAAATAAATAAATAAATCTGTAGCACCAATAAGTCTTATTATTACAGAAATATCTTCTCATTAGCTTTTATAATATTTAACCCGGGGAAATTAGAAGTGAGTAAAATAAATGTTACTTAATATATTGAATGACATGTCACATATTACTGTTTTTAAGGAACTAAGACGGTAGGATAACAGGAAGTGCTTGACCTGCTCCGCGCATGCTCATCTTTCATGTTCCCCAATGTGTGTTTGAGCGTATGAAGGTTGAACTGTCTACTAACCATAAACGAGTATTTAAACTAGTTATTGAATTGTCTGTATTGTTCAGTATCTAATGTCCACATGCCGTTACAATAAAGTATATATTTGTGGACCTCACCTGCTTCGTTCGGGATTTTAATAAAGGGTAAGCAAACAATATTTGGATCAATTATCTGCCAGGTGTCTACAAAACAACTGCAGCCTCTTTAATAAAATCTATCTATCTATCTATCTATCTATCTATCTATCTATCTATCTATCTATCTATCTATCTATCTATCTATCTATCTATCTATCTATCTATCTATCTATCTATCTATCTATCTATCTATCTTCTCCATTAATGCATGCACGAGTCATTTAACTAATGCATTTATCTGTGTGTTCTGTTAGTTGAAGATGGCTGGTCTTTCTAGCTATGCCCTGCGCATGGCCCGTCTGAGCGCCCGAATATTTGGAGATGTGTCCCGTCACACAGATTCCAAGTCTATGAAAGTTGTTGGGTTTTTTAAAGAACCGCCTCCGGCCCAGAGAAAAGAAGTGTATGACTGGTACCCCCCACACAAGATTTACTATTCAATGACCCAGAAGCTCAGATATTTGGGGCTTTTCAGGTAGGCTCTGGCATAATATTATAGTGCACATATGAACAGAAGTATATCTTCAAATACTTCTGTTTTTGTTGATGACATTTTTCTGGTATTGTTTTAGGGATGAGCACCAGGATTTCAAGGAGGAAATGAGACGCTTGAGGAAACTGCGGGGGAAAGGAAAACCTAAGAAGGGAGAAGGGAAGAGAGCCACAAAGAAGAAGTAGACCAACACATTTCAGCTATTTATGAACGGACACTTGAGAATCTAATGAAGAAACTGAGCTAAATACCTGTGTGGACAACGGGACATTGTTTATAACAGCGGCAACATTATATTAGCAGAGATTGTGGTGGAAAAAAAAATCAGAAACATGACATCTGTGATGGAAATTAAATATGATTAGTTTTGTACATTTTGCATCTTCATTTAGCCTTATTTTTTTTTTTTTAATTGACATGGTTTTGATTATGCTTTTCTGCAGAGTGTTGCCAATTTTCCATAATGGAACATCCTCAGATTACCTAACCAACACATTTAGGTTTGTATTTCTAAGACTACACTGAAAGAAAAGAATTAGAAAATTCTGAAAGCGATAATAAACTATTAGTGCACGAGCATGACGTTTTTTTTTTTGTTTTTTTAAATGATGCATGGTTGAAATGCCATTGCATAGCATGAAAAGACAACAATTCAGATTATGAACTGTTATAAAGAGGGGAAAAAAGCCCATTCCTTGACTAAATAATTTATATTATAGTGTTACATTTGTGCCCACAAATCAATACACCATATATTGTAATTGACCCATACATTTTGCAGGAGCATGTTAGACATGTTGCATTTATGTAGCAATAACGTTGATTGTGGATGACATGCCATTTTGTGAACCCGTCCATATTCGGACCTATATTCCAAACTATATTATAAGATAAAGATGATAAAATTGCATCTTAAAAAAAATCTTCCTCCAAGAATCACAGGCACAAGAGGATCATCAGAGGATCATTCCTTAATCACTAAAATATTCTTGTGTTGCAGATTAAGTTCCTATTTTTTGGTTTATTCTGTCAAACGTAATAAGTTTCATTTATATAGAGGCTTTTTAAAGCTCAAGGACACTTTACATTAGCATACACAATAGACAGTTGTAGGTGTACACAAAAAGATGACGATACTGCATAAACAAAAACAAAACAGTAATGCTATTCAAATACTACGATGTATCACAAATAACAATGAGAAAATGTTTTTGGCTAGATAATTATGTAAAAAAAAATTCAAAGTACCCATGCCTTACATGAAATTATAGTCAGAAAAAATCTAATTTTTGAAACTGACCAGTTTTATTTTTTTATTTTATATTGTCTAAAAGTTTAAATATATGCATTACGGCTTTGTTTTGTATTATTTGACACATCAGACTTTTATAAACCATGATATAGTGAGAATATGGAGCTTACACTCAAGGAGAAATCCTCAGTTTTATTCTTAGGATCAAACTGAACAAAAATATGCCATTTCATGCAGCTGTTGTTATTTGTTATGTCTTCATATCAAATTTTGATTTCATCAAATCAAACAATGTTGTACATCAATTAGATTTATACAACAGTATAGCAAACTACAAACTACTATAAATATCAGTTGTTACTCTCTATCTCCCAGTAGTATGTCTTAGTAAAGATGGTATGCTTAGTTTTATGATCAATGCTTTGTAGTTTTAAATGTGGCAGACAACAACACATAATGTAATGCAATACAATGATGATTGAGAGATACAAATACCCATTTCTCAATAGCCTGTTGTATCATTTGATACTTGTATTTTCTTTAAAAAGATATAAGAATAACGAGAAGAACATTTCTTTCCTGCAAATGTTCATCTTGAAAAATTGCTAAAGTTATTCTTATGTTTACTTTATAAAAATAATACTATTATATATTTTACTTACTAAAAAAGTGTAGAAGACTGTGAACAACAGACTTGATGTTCATACTTTAGAAGTCTTAGAAATTTGTGTACATCAGACATGATATACAGTATGTTTTGTACATCTGGCCAAATGATAGTCCTGTTGGGTGCACTCTGTTCAGTCTTTATAGGTAATATACATATTAAAGTTTATATGCAGAGCTTTTTGGTTAAAATCAGTTTCTAGATTAAACGGCCTTGAAATTGTCTACCAATCAGATAAACTAATATAATGTAGGGTAATTCAAGTAGAATGAAAGACATGGCAGAAACTGTGACTAATTGTGACTTGTTCGTTTTAGAATACACTTTAGTGCATTGGCCGGCGTCCAGTATCCCCATTTACCCCTCCATGGGTTTACATTTGGTGAATCTGTCTCCCCCTCCTGTCTCGTTTTCTGTTTCTTTCCTCTATTTTCCACTCAGTTTCTCGTGGTTTAAAATGGCGGCGTTGAGCAGCGCCGAGTCCCCACCGCCCGTCTTCAACGGAGACAGCATGAACCGCGATCCGGAGCAGGACCCGGGACTGGACGAGCTGGGAGCGGGGCTCGAACCCGCCTGTCCCGGAGGAGCGGCGATCCCCGAATGTCAACAGGACATTCCCGAGGAGGTACAATGGGGGAGTCAGGGTTGAAGGAGAGCTCGGCTGTAGAGCGGAGCTGGGCTGGATGGAGATGTTCAGGAAACACCGGCTGTAATACGGATCGTGGGGGGATGCAATGCATTGCAGGGGGGAGAGATGGTGCACCAATATATAAGTCGACCAAATCTTATATCTTGCGCTTATGCATTTTCGCAAGGTGCATTTCCGAATGACGCCATTTATAATTCTCTCATTGCAGTTCTCTGAGCCAATGTTTATCAGAAGGCCTGTTCGTGTTTCATTGGCTTTATTTCCTCACCAGACCCCGCTGCAATGCATGCATGCATGCTTCGTATCTCACCTTGCGATGCATCGTATTAATGGGAAACTACAGATGCAACTGGGAATATATTAACTGCTCGCGTCCCCTGTTTTATCTCCTTTGTGTCACCCTCTGCGTTCGAATGCATTTACATTTACATTTAAATCTGCAGTGATGTCATTGTGCTCGTGCATGGAGCCCTGCGAACGTTCCATATTCATTTTTTGACCCCGTGTAAATGTATTGCATTATGCTTCTTTCTTCTACGCTGTCAACTGCATGTCTGCACAAATCACCTATGCTGCTATAAGGGGCCTTTGCTGTTAGATGTACACACTGGGTATTACTGGGTACATTCTGCCCCTTGCTGGAACATCCAGCTTAAGTTAGTAGCTGTGTTCAGGAACATGCTGGTTATTAGCTGGTTTGACCATGTACAATGTTCCAGAAACCACAATAAGCTGGTATTACCAGCTGGTAGTTGATTTGTTGGCTGTCTACAAGCTAGAAACCAACTGCAATGTTCCAAAAACAGTTCCACTTAGTGGTAGCTGTTTTTTTGTGTGTGTTTTTTGGGCAACATTTCAGCTGGTTTCTGTTTTCTCTAGCTATCTAGAAACCATCTACCGTGTGTCAATTCCCTGCTACCGACTTAAGATGGATTTTCCAGCAGGGCATCCATTCATTCTGTTTAATTCGGAAAGTAAAAAAAAAAAGGTTTACACCGTCATGGAACAGGTCACAAATTTGTTTATTTAGGAAACTGCTTCCCTATTTTGCTGGAAGACTAGTTGGATTAAAGAGCAGCTTGTGTAAGTCATCATTATATGAGTGCTTAGTGGTAATTAGATTAATTTTACTGCTGGCTGCTGTAACAGGGTTATACTGTCTGATTATACACTGGACTTGTCTTGGTTTTTTTTGGTAATAGTAACTATATTTACTGTAGTATTGTTTTTTTGTGTGTCTTTTTTACTCATACTTTTTAGCACTGAATTCTCTCTTAAGTTAAAGAGTGGAGCACGATTTCATCTGATTGAAGAGTCCATAAACCTAGTTAACAGTTTTATTGATGGTCAGGGCCATAACCACGAAGGGTATACCATACATCTAATCTTCCCAATTAACATTACTTTGATGGGTTATGCGGTGGCAGTTTCTTCAATTTATACATTGAACTAGAATCTTGAATGTTTGGCTACATACAGTATTTGTTGTCAGCTAGTTTTTACATTACTGACTTGAATGTTGAAGGAATAATTCACCCAAAAATGTGTATTTTAAAATCTTCACCTCCAATGGGCTTAAGTCACAACTGGATCAAATTGAATTTGAGAACCGGATCAATCATTCATTAATGAATCATTCAAATACATAATTTCAATGAATAACAATTTCATTTTCAGTCTGTTCTTTATACAGGGCTATCGTATGGCTTTAGAAGCCTTGGAATATAATATGGTGTTTGTCGATTTGAAAGGTCTGGTTCCTTTCTATGAAATTTTATGTGCAGTCTTCAAAAATTCTGCTTATGTGTTCTACAGAAGAAAGCAATTAATACATGTTTGAAATGAAATGAGGATGTTTTAATATTGATAGAATTTTCATTTTTGGGTGAACTTTTCCTTTGTAGAGAAGCTGTGGATGCCTGCAAGTATTTCATGTATTGAGCTATTTTAAACTTATGTTGCATCATGTTGGAAACAGAGTAGGGCCTATATTACCACATGGGGTTTGCTTTAAGAAAGGCTTGTAACAAATGTCTGTTTAAGAAACTGTCACCAATCTTTGACTGCTAGGAGTTGATACTGGCAAGACTACTGAGAAAGTCCCTTGTCACGGGTGCCTTTTAGCTATTTCTTGCACTAATTTGACTAGTAGAGCCAGTTTATCTGCACCGTTGATTAGGAATCAAGTGGCAGCTTGACTCTCGGAATGCAGGATTTTTAATCAGAACTAAAGTTAGATGCACTTAAATGTGCTATTTCATGGGGGTGTTGAGGCATTCCAAGTTTCTTGACAGTCTGCTGGAAAATTGCTTCTCAAAATGGTGATCATAATAAAGTTTACTTGTAAAGCTTTGTAGCACTGTCAGATTGTGTTCACTTGGCTGGGACATTTTCCAACAAACTTGGAGTGTTTTATGATGCTGCTTGTATTGCTTGGCAAAATTGAAAAATGTTTATTGGCTTTTTAGAACAAGTACTTTGCTTGGATGTTTCCTTGAGCAAATGCTTGCAAACCATTGCAAAATAGGCTTTGAGTGCATGTCTTAACATTGGATAAAAAAATGATCCGCCTCAATTGAGTGCATATGTTTTTTGTGTACATTTTTTTAATTTATGCACGTCGTCTTGGTGTTTCCATTCAGCGTTTTTTTTCCCTGCAATATTCCAAAATTTGCATAAAAATATGTGGATGTTGGAAACATAGCTAACCATGACCTCAGGCACACAAATTGTTTTAAAATTGTGCTATAATTAAATGTATAAAATTTTCAATAACTAAAAATAGTAGTTTACTCATCTCCTGACAAATGTCTCGGATGTTTAAAAATATTGACATTGTGAATCTCAGAAGATTTTGCATAAATCGTACATTTACAGTATCAGATCTGTCATTTTTTTTATGTGTGTTTAGGGACATGAATACAAATTGCAAAAAAGAAAAAAACATGTTTCCTGAAGATCTCTTCTGCTTCCATTGGTTGGACAGAAGGATAGCCCCGCCCCTAAATGTACACCATTGGTTGAGCCACTTTTGTTTTGTCAGGTTGTTTGTGTTCCTCAAACAAATGGAGTAAAGGCCTGTTCACACCAAGGATGATAACGATAAAGACATAGGCCTAGTTTTTCCTTCTAAATGTAAAAGAATAGCAGTCCACACCACAGCTATAATGATAACAGCACAGTAAACAATATTGTTGCAATCACTTACAGATTTTTTTTTTCTAGCTGATGAACAATAAAAACATTGGCAGCCAATCAGAATCAATCCTGCTTTAAAGAGCTGGGGCATTTAAAGCAGCTGACAAACACTGCAGCACGCGCTTATCATAAACTGATATTGTGCGTTGGCATGGACGCTAATATAGCTATTGCTCTTTGCGTGAACGCCAACGGGCCTTTTGATAGTGCCATGTGCAGTGCAGTTCACGCTTTTTGGGCAAATAAATCTATGAATGCATGGCATAAAATTGTCTCAGCAAATTGCGCTTAAGTTGGGACTGGAAAAAGTATTTAACAAAATATAATACACAATTCGGTTGAAGCAAGTTGATGCATTTTGAAGCTGTTTCTTTGCTAGAGCTCACTGTCAGTATTTGATTTGCTTCACACCTCAGACTTAATTAATATTGCATATTTACTGTGGGCAGGGCCTGAGACAGCCGTCCAGTGTCAGTTTTTACAGCTTAGTGGAGACAAGCAAGTGATTCTGTGTTAATTAGATTTAGCACAGTCATGAGGTCACTTGTACAATCAGTGGAATCTTCTCATAAAAAGGAAGCTGGGAAATTTTGGTTTGCTAACTCTCATTTTCTTTGCAGATATGGAACATCAAACAGATGATTAAGTTAACCCAGGAGCACCTAGAAGCCCTTTTAGATAAGTTTGGAGGAGAACACAATCCACCATCTATATACCTGGAGGTGAGTTGGCCCGACAAAGAGTTGCTGTCATGGGTGTGTTGATGTTGTACAGTAAATGAAGTGACTAGAATTAATACCATCTACAGTTACAATTAACTTTTGGCCTTTGTTCCAAACTCTAGTGAGCAGCCTAAATAGGCAGCATTTTAAGGCATCAAAGGCACACTCCCAACACAACGGCTGTTCTAAAAGTTAGGCATCTTTGCCTATGTCTTGTTTGGGCAAATTCTAAGGCAGCATCCAAAGTATCCACCCCACTCTCCAAATCACTACAACAAGCCTAGTGCAGAAATCTATGCAAGTGTGTGGACAAAGTGGGAGAAATCATTTGAAATAATTCAAGCGTTAAATAAAAATGACGTTTTCCTAATATTTCCTTTTTATGTTTATTAGAGTATTGTCGTTAGCTTAGCAACATGCTAGTGGAAAACTCTGTGAAACGACAGTAAGTTGCCTACATAAAACATTGTCACTCCATGACAGTTAAGATGCTGCTTTGGGCAAATAATTTCTCAGTTTAAAACTACTGAATGAATAGAAAAGGAGGAAAAGAAAAGAGGGAAAATTTCACTGCTTCAACAAAATATTTCCATCAGGTGTATGCAATAACAGCAAATGCAATCCTCCAAAAGGTTCAAAACATGAGCAGCCATTTATGTGAAACATTCATAAAGTCTTAATGATATATTTCCTCCACGCCACAGGCCTATGAGGAGTACACGAGTAAGCTGGATGCATTACAGCAGCGGGAACAGCAGCTTTTGGAGGCTATTGGAAACGGAACAGAGTTTTGCTCCTCGCCGACACTCACCCTGCTGGATGTGAAGGGACCAGGCGCCCAGAGTGCCCCCGTCACCCCAAACACCTTGGCTGTCCTGCAGACCCCCACTGACGCATCACGAGGGAATCCCCGCTCGCCCCAGAAACCCATCGTAAGGGTTTTCCTGCCCAACAAACAGAGGACAGTGGTGAGTTACTGGATATTATTTGTTGCTGAATACTTAGTACTGTTTTGCTTTTATATGTAAAATTTTGAAAAAGTACCAAAAAAAAAAAAAAAGGCCGTAAACTTAACTATATAAATGCTATAATAGTATGTAACTAATATAATACTGGCTTTATGACAGAATATCAGGTAAGGGATCTGAAAAATGGGGTGAGTTACGTCTGTAATGTTTTGCCCACAGCTGGATTTGAGAAGTTCTGTCATGTACAGATGTGGTAGGATGTTTTGACAATTCTTCACAGTAAGGTTTCAGGCAGGGCTTTAAAACGAGGTTTTTGAAAGGAATTTCCACTCCAACCAGATTGTAGAGCGGCGGGAGTCCATGGGAAATTAGCGAATATAGGTGACCCCCTTTATTTTTGATTATCTGCTCAGCTTGTCTCTTTTGGTTTAGCAAAGAGAAGCCGCTGTATGAGTAGGAGCCAAGAAATCAAACGTGCCCAGACGTAGCCACAGTCTCACTGCAAGGAGATAAGTTACTCGAGTAAGTGGTTTATGTGTGCGTTTCAGGTTCCAGCTCGTTGTGGGATGACTCTGAGAGACTCTTTAAAGAAGGCTCTGATGATGCGAGGCCTGATCCCAGAATGCTGTGCGGTCTACAGGGTTCAGGATGGGTAACAACTGTTCTAACCTTCACTAGTGCAAAAACCAAGGTTATGTCATACTGCCGGCTGTACTTCACATTTAATGTCTGTCCCGCCCACATTAGGGAGAAGAAGCCTATTGGCTGGGACACAGACATTTCCTGGTTGACGGGGGAGGAGCTCCATGTTGAGGTTTTAGAGAATGTGCCACTGACGACCCATAATTTTGTGAGTATGATGAAACTGACCACAAGCTGTGGCTTAAAGGGGACCTATTATGCCCCTTTTTACAAGATTTAATATCTCTAAGAGTCTATAAAATACCCTCCCAGATCATTTACTATAGCATGTCCAATTTGCTCCTTTTTGAGTGTGAGCAAAAACACGCCGTTTTTGTGTGTGTACCTTTAAATGCAAATGAGCTTCCCGCCCCCTTTCCGGAAGTTCCGCCCCCTTTTTTATAATTTATATAATCATCTTTTGCCACATTAGCCATACAGCATGCTAACAAGCACATTAAGATTCGGAAACATTCACAAAATATGAAGTGCGATACTTGTTCTGGATATGAGGTTGGCATTGACCCATTTTTCAGAATCAACTTTTGTGCAAATCCAGCGTTGAACTGACTCTCGTTTGCGAAGCAGTCAGACGTAAAATGATTTGCACAAGCATATCTGACTTTACCTAATTTCTTCGGCACATTTCCTTCATAAATTAAATTCATCCACTGTGTCCTCAGTGGCTCAGATGCCGTTGATTTGTACATCCAAAAACAGAACATTTGTAATGTTTATGTGGCACAGACATTATATCAATAGGTGCTACAGCGAGGATATAAACATGGCAGTGTTTCATAAAAAAATAAGGAGTGAGTAGATTTTTACCATTATAGGCTGGTTGTTTACACACACTATGGACACACATCAGTGTTAAACATCATGTAAAAGTGAATTTTACATAATAGGTCCCCTTTAAAATAAATCGGAAATGACAAAGAGAAAGTTAGAGCCAACAGTTCACATGTTATAGGTGTGGTGATTTCTATTCTTGATTTTACTCTTAAAGAGTTTCTTAAAGACACGTTGGCCTCTTGCTCCTCCACCTTGACTGTATATATTGTGCTTTGGAAACACCCAGAAGCTTCGTAATAACTCAAAGGGTTATTTCGGTGATTAAACAGGTGCGAAAGACCTTCTTCACGCTGGCCTTCTGTGACTTTTGCCGGAAGCTGCTGTTTCAGGGCTTCCGCTGCCAGACGTGCGGCTACAAGTTCCACCAGCGCTGCAGCACAGAGGTCCCGCTCATGTGTGTCAACTACGATCAGCTGGAGTGAGTGCTCATGGGAAATTCTTTCACTTCTGCTTTATCCATTAAAGGGTGAAATTTGCTCCACACATAATACACGGTGAAATAAAGCATGTAAATAATATTTAAACTAAATATTAAAACAATGTTTTTGCCTAAGTTTATTTCTCCTATATTAATATTCACTGTATTTGGAATAATTAGCAACTTATGGTTTTGTGCTGTGGGTAATTAATTATGCATACTAATATATTTGTACTGTTGTTCTTATTATTTATATTTTTGTTCAGTTTACTGCTGGCATCAAAATTTCTAGTGCACCACCCCATTACCCAGGAGGAGATGTCATCAGAGGGCACGACACCCGTTTCAGAGATGTGCCCCTCCCTCCCTCCATCTGAGTCCACTGGGTAAGAATTTAGTCCACCTCTGTGTGTGTGTGTGTGTGTGTGTGTATATATGTATATGTGTGTGAGATTTTTACATATGCTTTTGAAAGACGCCTCGCACTCACCAAGGCTGCATTTATTCTGATAAAAAAAAAACAATAATATTGTTAAATATTATTACAATTTAAAATAACTTTTTTCTGTTTTCTATAGTTTAAAATGTCATTTATTCCTGTGTTGGCAAAGTTGAATTTTCAGCAGCCATTACTCCAGCCTTCAGTGTCACATGTTTCAGAAATCTTAATATTGTGTGGAAACGGAGACATTTTTTTTTTCCAGGATTTTTGATGAATATAAAATTTAAAAAAGAGCATTTATTTGAATTTGATAGAGATATAAATCCTTTTGCAGATCAGTGTAGTTACTGCTGTGTCTCTTTTAGTTGAGAAATTGTAAGGGTCGCCTCAAGTATTTACTGGAGTGCGTTAGTGACTTTAACAGTGACTTTAATCATGCACTAAGCAAAATTTCATTATGCTCTCCTGTATTTTAATTTTTTTCTCCAGGTCTCTTTGCCATCCTTCTGTGTCCCCGTCCAAATCCATCCCTATCCCACAATCCTTCAGACCTGGAGAGGAGGACCACCGCAACCAGTTTGGCCAGAGGGATCGCTCTTCCTCGGCCCCTAATGTCCATATCAACACCATCGAGCCGGTCAACATTGATGTGAGAACTGGACATTTGAACAGCTGATAAATATATTTTAGACCATGTCTAATATGTATTTTAAATAATTATAATGTAGGTCCCACTTCCTGAATCTAAAAAAAAAAAAGAGTATAATATAAAGGTGAACTATTTAGTAATATTACTAAATATTAACATTGATAATATTTGATGTGTGCTTTTATTTTAGATGCATTATATTATTTCTTTAAATGAATATTATTTTAAAATAAATGAATCTATATTAAGTGTTACAGTTGCCCTCAAGCACTGCATCACCTCCATAATGTTAGTTTATCATAATCTTGTTTATTTAAGTCTCTGTTAATATAAATGTTTCTTATACCACCAACAAATTTACAAGGTACATTTGTGTCAAAAGTTACAATTGCCCCGGACTCCCCTAGTCCCTGCTAATCGGTGTTATTCCTGTACAGGATTTGATCCGTGATCAAGGCTTACCGAGGTCAGATGGAGGTAAGGGCTGTATGAAACAGAAAACATAAACTTAAGACGCACTGAATTCAAATGGCTTTCTATCATCCCATGTCTTTGTGCTATCTTTGTGTCATTGGCCTTAGAAGTTTGGGACAGCTGTTCCATTTCACCCTGCCTGCTAGTAAAGCTGACAAATAGGCCTTTCTCTCCCCTGCCCGCTTTGTGAATTGCTTCTGCCCTTTTCTTTATCAACAGCGGCCTGCTGTAAAGTACTAATTTCTAATCACTGTTCTCAAAACCTGCCCCCTGTCCTTTGTTTCAAAACATGTCCCAGAACATTACAGTATAAGTAAACATCCAGTCATCATTTACTCACCTTCATGTTGTTCCAAACCCGTGCGACTTTCTTTTTTTCTGTGGAACATAAAAGATGTTTAGAAGAATGTTCAAGCTGCTCTTTCCATAAACCAAATGTAAATTAAAAGCATGAAAGAAAATCAAACACGTTTGGAATGATACAAGGTGATTAAATGATAACATAATTATCATTTCTGAGTGAACAACCCTTTTTTGGATATATACAGGAATAAATAAAAACTGGCTCTGTAATACACTTGATCATCTCTAAATGAGCTCTGAGAGTAGACACAGGATTGTGGGTAGTGGGTGACAGGAAGTGCACCTGAGCTTCAGGGGCCAGTGATCCCGTGTCTGTCTCTCTCCCCCCTGCAGCCCCCTCGCAACACCCAGCCCGCTGCTTGAGGAAGAACCGAACACGGACCTCAAGCCCCCTTCTGTCCTCCCACCCCAATGAAATTGTCTTTGATTTTGAGCCTGAGCCAGTGTTCAGAGGTAGATAGGCCTTTGTGCGTGGCTGTGTCCCACACCTTGTCTCGTCCTTTGCTTGTCTGTCTGTCTGTCTGTCTGTCTGTCTTCCACTTGTGTGTTTTGTTGATGTATTTCACTCCTCCTTGTTTGAATTCTCACTTTCTCTGCCACTTCTCTGACACGCACACTTTAACTGAGCTTTGAACTCCACTCACTTCTCCTTAACTCAACACACTACAAACTCACTTAGTAAGACACAAATTGTACATGTATCAAATTTCTACATTTTAGATGTACAGGTCCCTCTCTTTCGGTCAGTTTTGTATATTTTAGTGTGCATGCACATTTCTAAATTTAGATTGCCTTGGCCATTTATCTAAAGCTCACTTTTAGTCATCTTTAAAACAAAACATAATTTAATTACACTGTTAAATGTTATTTTTTAAGCAAATCTCAAAATGTGCATTTCATACTATACATTATAATCTTTTTGAATATTTTTTTATTTTACTTAGCTTTTAATATATATATTTTTGTATTCACTTTTATTTAGATAAAATAGTATTGAATTTTAATATGAGAGCCATTTATTAGTTATTGACCATAACTTGAAAACAATTATCAGCTTATTGTATTGGCCAGTAAAAAAGTTTAAAAAAAAGTTTTTCATCTAACATTTATATTTCATTTAAATTAACAAAAAAATTTTTTTTTTACTAGATTTAGCTAACAATAACAACAAAGGTATTTGCCAAAATTTTTATATCAGTGCATCCCTACTTACAATACTTCAGCGTACACAGCTGTGTGAGATATTTTTGGGGATACTTTAAGATTTTGGCTTTTCGGAAAGAGACGGGATGTGGCTCAGGATTTGCTAGTATACTTATATTTGAGGCATACATCACCCGCAGCCCCGTTTCACACTGCATGGGCTGTGACGTGCCCCTTTCCTCTCTTTCTCTCCCTCATGTGACCACACAAGATTTTATTCCTTTCCTTCTGTCGTCTTCCCCTCTTATTCTGTTTTCTCTCTTCTTTGGCTCCCATATTTCCTGTTGAAGTAACTTTGATGTTTCTCGACCTCTTGCAATGCCAGGCTCCACAACAGGCCTGTCGGCCACACCTCCTGCCTCCCTGCCTGGTTCCCTGCCCAATGTGAAGGTGTCGAAATCGCCGTGCCAACCGAGGGAGCGGAAGCCATCGTCTTCATCTGAGGACCGCAATAAAATGGTAAAGATTTTTTTTCTTTTTACCTCACTTGGCACATTTAGTCCAGGTCTAAGGTCATTTTAATCTATTTTATCTAATATTTTGCTCTGTAGAAAACTCTAGGTCGACGGGACTCGAGCGATGATTGGGAGATCCCAGAAGGTCAGATCACCCTGGGACAGCGGATAGGATCTGGCTCCTTTGGAACAGTCTACAAGGGGAAGTGGCACGGTGGGTCCTGTGAGAATGTTAACAGCATTTGGACTTCAGATTAATAAGAAATGCACAGAAAAGGCTAAATGTGTGTCTTCCTCACAGGTGATGTGGCGGTAAAGATGTTGAATGTCACAGCCCCCACTCCACAGCAGCTACAGGCCTTTAAAAATGAAGTGGGTGTCCTCAGGTAAGATAAGGACTAAAAATGCTCATTATTGCAAAACAGGGACTGTATCTGTCCAAAATGTAGGTTTCAGGTAGTGGTCAACTGATATAGTTTTTCTTTGTTTGTTTTATGAATACCATTGCATAATTTTTTTTTATTATTTTAAACATTTGTATTTATTTAATGTTTATTGGAAGAAAATAATCAAAAGGGTTTTTAAACTATCCCAATTGTTGGTTACAAGGTTGCAAAAAATCTATTTATTTTAATTTAATAAAATCGTTTAATTAAAATCAACAATTAAATATAAAAAAAAAAAAAAAAATCTCATATGATATTTAATCTGACCTAAGATTGCCTATCAACATGAGGGTTAAGCACTTCGTTTCACTGACCATTGATTTTATTGAATTAAGAGTTTCCTATCATTCATTAAGCGATGAAACTTGAAACAAAAAAGGAGAATATTATTAAAAAAAGTGTGCATTTCATAATCGTAAATGTGTTTTTATACATGTAGGTTTAGGTTGCAGATTAGTATTTGAACAATGACTAAAAAAATGCAATCATTATTTGTAAACCTTATATATTTGGTCATTAAATGTTAGTCTTGTGTTTTTGAGTCAAGTGCTACCTAGGATTGTCCAATACCAAAATTTCAGTTGTCGGTACCAATACCAGTAAAATTTCACGGTTCTCTGTACCAATTTCGGTATCATGGCAAAAACACGCAAATACGCACAGGAACGTTTGAAAGGAGCCGTCTATTGACCCAATACTTGACCAGTACTACTGGTACTTCTGGTAAAATTTAAGTATCTACTTGGTATCAAAGTACCCCTAGAGCTGCCAAAACATTGTTCTACCAAAGCTTATTGAAAAATTCTTTATCTCCCACAGGAAAACCCGCCATGTGAATATCCTGCTCTTCATGGGCTACACCACCAAACCCCAGCTGGCTATAGTTACACAGTGGTGTGAAGGCTCGAGTCTTTACCACCACCTGCACATCATCGAGACCAAGTTTGAGATGATCAAGCTGATTGACATTGCCCGCCAGACGGCCCAGGGCATGGAGTGAGTCACTGGATCGATTAGAGAGAAATCACAGATGATCACTATAGCAGTGTAATGTTTAGGAGTCAAGAATCCATTCAGTCTTCTGGCTTCAATAGAAAGTGTGAAACCTACTGCCATCATGATACTAAATTGTTCAAGTTATAATGCATGAATTTAACACTTTTAAATATTTTTTTATCCACAGCTACCTGCACGCTAAGTCCATCATCCATAGAGATCTGAAGAGTAACAGTATCCTTTCTAATTAAAGACTGATTTGCTGTAAAATGTCTTATACAAAAATACAGGTCGCTTTTGATAGGTATATCAATTTTACAGTGATGTCCAAGCCTATGTGCGTGTACATACGCTTCTATATTAGCCTTAACAGCACCTCCCTAGATATCTTTTTGCATGAGGATCTAACGGTAAAGATTGGTGATTTCGGTCTGGCTACGGTGAAGTCCCGATGGAGTGGCTCACATCAGTTTGAGCAGCTATCTGGCTCTATCTTGTGGATGGTGAGTCAAGGCACTTGTACTAGCTATGAGTATTTCTTTTGCGCCGAGATTTGCATCTGGACTGACTCATTGGTCTTCTTCAGGCTCCAGAGGTGATCAGACTGCAGGATAAAAACCCATACAGTTTCCAGTCGGATGTCTACGCGTTCGGCATTGTGCTCTATGAGCTCATGTCAGGGGCTCTGCCTTATTCCAACATCAACAACAGAGACCAGGTGAACCTCATCAATGCACTTTTTTTTTTACTTTTCCCCCCAAATATTTTGTCTAAATTGATTAGTTACATAATCATGAGTAGAACTCATGCCTTATCATCAATTTATAATGTTAATGTACTGTATGTGTAATGTACTAGTAGTAGGATGTCTATGACTTAAATCAAGTCTGTACTATGAAGGATTACTGCAAATATCTGAATATTGGAAAATGTAATGAGCATATCTCTCCTATCAGATTATCTTTATGGTTGGCCGAGGTTACCTTTCCCCTGACCTGAGCAAAGTGCGCAGTAATTGCCCAAAGGCCATGAAGAGACTTATGGCAGATTGTTTGAAGAAAAAGCGAGAGGAGAGACCTCTTTTCCCTCAGGTAATGTTGTGAAACATTGTCAAAGGCATGTCGAAGTATGTTGCCATAAGATGGCATCAGAGTGTCATTAACAGAATTTAACAGAATATATTTGCAGCTTTATATATTTAAATATATTAGATTTTAATATATATATATATATAAATAATTTTTTATATATTTTTATTTAGTTATTTTTTCTTATGTATATATCATCTATTTATTGCAGATCCTGGCCTCCATTGAGTTATTGGCACGCTCTCTACCCAAGATCCACCGCAGCGCTTCTGAACCGTCCCTTAACCGGGCTGGCTTCCAGACAGAGGACTTCAGCCTGTACGCCTGCGCTTCCCCCAAGACACCCATTCAGGCTGGTGGCTATGGCAAGTACAAATAGACAAACATTGTTGTACTTTTTGACTTGTATTGCATTAATTAGTATGAAAACTGATACAAATCTGTCCTTTGTGTCCCCTTTTAGGTGAATTCTCAGCGTTTAAATAGTGCTGCAAATCCTACAACTCCATCCCTTGTCAGTTTTTACGACGTCTTGTGTTCCTACGGTGGGTTCATCCATAACACAGAAAAGGACTAGTTTTCAAAGAATGTGCTGTTTTTCTTCCTCTTTACCCGAAGAGCTACAGCCTCAATGGAATTGCTTTAAAATAAAAAGATCTCTGCAGGGTGTCATTGCTGAATTTACAAAAATGTCATAAACATCACATAGGACAACTCGATAATGCAACGTCCAACAAAAAACGACTGATGTGAGGACACCAATGCCTGGTCACTGGAAAAAGAAAAAAAAGGCATAGATTGTGAAGGGGATACAAATCTTTTCCCCAAGGATGAATGGGGTTAGGATTAATTATATTGGAGCACAAGCCCCGCCTTCACTCCGCCCCTGGAGGGGAAGAACACGCAGCATTGGCCAATCAGAAAACAGGGTCCATATTTGGACTAGTGGCATGGAATGATGGAAAAATTGGCATAAGAGCAAGGACGTCAAGTTGCCGTTGTGGAGAGGTGCTGGATATCAAGAGATAACTTGAATGATATTTCAAAAACGTTTCTTTCTCTTGCAACGAGTTTGTTACGTAACGTTGCCTGTGGCTGGAGTTGCTAATAATAATAAAAAAAATTCTACAGGGTCATACGTTGTAGATAAACAGACCCAGTATTATTATTTTTTTGTTAGAGGCAGTTTGTGAGCTGGGGTAAATGAAGCAACCATTGAAAAGAACTCTTTTTTTATAAATATATTCTGTAGGGACTTTGCTTTTAATTTTTTGTCAAGGCAAACTCTAGTATCTTTTATTTTACATGTCACATCCCCATGAATGCCCCACGCAAAGAAGCCTGGGTAAACGTTTTTAGACTCTTTTGGTTCGGCACAAATTCTATCAGACATTTCCGAGGTGGGCAAAATCAAAGCTGTTTCTGTGCTTCTAGAGAATGTGATTATTTTGTTTTATTTTGTTTCGCCACATTATAGTAGCTGACGTCATGTTTCTGAATAAGTCAAAGGTCATATTTGAAGTTTCTTGTAGAAAAAACCCACTGTATAAAGCAAACACGAAGCCTTGTTTCAGATGTGGGTGTATTTCAGATGTATATCTGTACTTTTCACTACAAATTTATGCTTAACTGTTGTTATTAGAAGCCATTCTTTTGAGGCCATAATGGTTAACTGATGGTTTTTTTTTTTAGATTTCATTCGTCCACAAGTCATGTGTCTCTTTGGACCTTGCACCGCTGGATTCATTCCAAAATGTTTGTTCACAGGTCATAGTTTTTTTTCTTTCTTTTTTTTTCATATAGTTTTTTCTTGTGTTATAGACAGGCAGGCCTGCAAAGTTACATTAATTTATATTGCTTTAATTTTATTACTTTTTGTTCGGTGTTGTTTCAAACTCTGGGAGAGGTGTGTATATGTATGTGTGTATATATATATATACATATACATTTATTTTCTCTCACCCATTCTGTGATTTGTTGAAATGGACATTAAGCAGTGTGTCTGTGCACTTTGTATAAATGACTGATGCAGATAAGCAATTTTGCCTTTTTAAAGACTTATTATATTTTGTCATATGAAGAGGTTAAAGCATGGTTACCGGATTGCAAAATGAATGAAAATTGATTTCAAAAGCAGGCAGGGCCATAGGACACTAAGAACCAAAGCTTAAACCAACCTTCTAAAGTCATCTGTGTCCACCTTTGCCATTGACAGAGAACGGTTATCTGGATCTTCGACCAAATCTATTCACCCTATGATTCAAACTGGCTTCCTCTGTTCCTGCTCACAAAGTGCGACAAAGCGGCGGCTCTTCGTTTCACGTTGGCCCAAAGACTTCTGCGTCAACCCTCTAGCATAGCTTTGGGCTGTAGTGACACTAGCACTGTGTAGCCCTGAAGTTCGCCTAGACACTGTGGACGGTGGAAGTGCCCTCCTAGGAATGCTTTTCATTATTTCGGCCTCTTCGTATTGAAAAAAAGTGGCTCCACCTCCTTTTTTTTCTTGTACGAAATGACGCATTTTTGCTTTCGGCTCCACAAAATGCTTGATGTTGCACATATAACTGAGGCTCTGCGCTTGGTTCACCACTCGTGCTCTGTTACAAAAGCAAGGACACGCGCTCCATCTTCTTGCTTCTGTTGAGATGGATTGATTTATTTATTTTGAGTCTCTTTTTATTTTTATAAGGATGATGCTCTGTGAATTGTTTCAGCCACTTAAACTTGCCATTAAGGAGAGAGGAGCTCCATGAATCCTGTTGGTTGTGACAGTGGTCACTGTTTTCACATGTATAGTTTCATTCTGACAAGACGTTTGAATGGACTTGTTCTCAGATTAAGCTGGTAAACTTATCATGGGTTGCGTATGGAGATAGTAGAGGTGTATTTTAAGAGTGCTGTATTTATTTTCTATGGGAATGTTACTGAAGAAGTCTGACTTACGAAGGACTGATCCTTCTTTATTCTGGAATACTTGGGGACGTACTTGATTACAATTCGGTGAGGTATCCTCTAAAACCATTAGTCTTTCACTACCCAAAAAACATTTTATTTGCTTTTTAAAGCCTTCACCAAAAATGTCCATATCACATTCCTTTCTGTTGCCTTGCCTGCACTTTAAACCCCCACCCCAGTGCAAGATCATTCAAGTGAAAAGTATCATACAAATGTTTGGGAGACTCTTTTCATCTGTAAATAGCTGTACAAAGGAAGTACTGTCCGTTTGCTAGGAGGCATGGAGATAAAAAACAAAACAATGAAATGACTTCAAATGTTTCAACTTAAGAAATGACAACGGTTAAGACATTTTGATAGATGAAATTCTGAGAAAATATTTCTGTGTAAAAATATTTAAGACTGTATTATATAAAAGGAAAAAGAGCTTAATGTATTTGTTGTGAATATGAAAACTGATATATTAAAGAAGTGCATGAAAACTGTAATGCTTTTGTGCGTTTATTTTCATTTCATTTGAAATTCAATGTGAAGCAGTGCTTGCTTTTACAAGCCGTCACATTTAACACCGGTCTTGACACTGTATTCACCCATATACTAGCTTTTTTGGCTTACAAAGTGTTATCTGACTTTTAAGAAATATTTTCTGTAAAAGCGCTTTTGGAAAGTTTATGAGGAGTTGCCTTTCTCTCTCATTAGTTCTGCCCACTCTTTTCTTACGTGGCCCCTCCAGATGCTTTGTTTCAGTCCTTAAGAAGAGATGCTTTGTAGGTTAGGTTACAAAACAGACGATCTCATAGCTTAAGTAACACACAATCTGCCTTTTTTTATCTAAAGATGAAAAAAAGCTTTTTTTGTATTTTGGAAGCTATTGAAAACTAAATGCTTGCTGCAACATCCATGGGTTAGTAAATACAAGTCTAAATTCAATTTTAAGGAAAGTGAAAATATTTATCATTTTCTTGTTCGTTTTCCAGATTTGATATATGATTTAGTGTCTGATATATTCATGATGTATGTATGATGAACCTTAGCAAATCACTATATTTCATATATAAATGTTGTATCTGGATATTTTTTTCTCAAAACCTGAATATAGTGCAACACTGCTCTATTTATAAGTAAAACACGATACGAGTTCTCAACTTTTCAGGATTTGTGACTGGAATCCTACATAACTCCATCTCTTTCAGACGAGCGTGGGATGTCCAGTTTCATCTCTGTCAGGAATAAAAAAAAAAAAGTCAAAATGAACACAAGGTATCAGTATGTTACTGCATTCATTATTGCATGTATGTGATGTGTTGTATGTTAAAAGCTTGAAGTATTATAAATAATATTTTTCCCATGTAAACCTCAGGGCACTCCCTGGCTAATGCACAGCGGCGTCAGAGCATTCAGCTAGAGCAGACCCTGCATGCACTGGACACACAGTATCAGCGGGAGCTGGCCGGAGGTAGAGGGTGCACAGCAAGTGTTTCGAAGATCCCTGGACCACCTTGGCAGCCGAAGTGCTGTCAACAGACCTTTGGCCCTGCCTTCAACCTCCCCTTCCTCCTCAAAACAACCCAAGCAGGCACCCTTGCAGTCCTGCTGCCCAAACCACATTGTGTGCTCGAGCTGCATTCATCTGGACATTTACTGAGCAACAAACTGCATTTTGTAACCCAGGGGCACATATTTACTGAATATTTTAAATAAATCTGTGGCCCATTTATATTAGTACTCAATGGAATCATAAGGTTGTATACTAGTTTTATGGTTTGAAGCAGTTATTATCATAAAGAGATTTTTATGTTATTGAATCCTGGGAAATGTACTGACCTGTCACAGCTGCAGATTCAGTGGCTCCGCCCACTTGCATGAGTTTGACCTGCCACCTGCCTGTAGAGCCTGTGAAATACACATTTAGCAAAGCATTATCTTCCAAATGCAAGGTTTTTTTCATGTCACACAAAATAGCAGATGTATTTCGCAACAAAATGCTCATAAGAAAATAAAGTTGCTATTTTATTTTAAAATGTGTCATTTTTAAAAGAGTATTGTGATGTTGTTGCATAAATCACTACACTTTTCCATTGTCAGTTTAATAGTTACAAGTTTTTTTTTTTCACATGGTGTACACAGTAATGATTTTCATGACCTTTTCTCTTTCATACTATAAAAAACAAAAGCAAAAATCATACATCTCAAAGTTGTTAATGGTCATTCATATTAATTAATTAATTAGATACTTATTTTAGTTGACTATGGTATGACTAGGATTTTTTTTAATTGATAATAATAATATTTTTCAGATAATTTTGGAATAATGTTCCACTAGTCATGACGAATACAGAGCACTGGGCGTCTCTCTCAACCTGATGTGAGGCTCAAGTTGAGATAAGCATTGATGAAGTCGGTAGGACCCTCCAGCTGTGGATAATGAATTGTTTTAGCTGAAAGGATGCAGATTTAATCATAAGCACATTAGTGGATATTTTTAATGGGTAGCTGTGGTGCAGTGAGCTGTGACCATCACTAATACACATAAGAGCTGTTGAGTCATGGAGACAGGTTCGAGTCCAACTTCAATTTTGTCAATAAATACAAAAAAGCACCATATATATATATACACACACACACACACACAGTTATTGTGCTAGGAATGATTAAGTTCTTAAAACTGACCACGCTTGAAAACTAGTTTATTAGTATTATATTACCAACAAAAAAAAAACAGCTTTGTGGTTCAGAGGCTAACTTTTTGCTTTTCCGACATAAAAGTCTGAATTCAAATGCCACATGTCCTAATGTTTCCATGTAACAAAAATAACCCCTTCAAGCTAAGTAGAGTGAGACAAAGCCTTGTAGTTTTACATGCCAGCCCAGATGATGTGTTGTTTAAACAAGAGTCTTTGAAGAACAAAACTACAACAGAGACCTGTTCAAATGCAGTAATTATTTACCTTTCTTGACAAAAGAAATTCACACATGACCCAAAAACAAAACAAACCATACCTCATCACAACTTCAGTGGCGTAGAGGATAATAATTTGCCTTCAAACATGAGAGTCTGGGTTCAAATCACACAACTGTTAACTTTTCCATCAAATAAAACAAAACTCTTCATAAAAACCCATCCAAAACACCCTTGCTCAGTTGATAAAGCGTTGGGCTTTAATCAAGGAGAGCTGAATTCAAATCCCGTTCTTGGTTATGTTAAATTATTGTGATTATATCCAACAAAGTGGCCAAAACAGCAGCTCTCAGTGTGAATGCCACAGTGGTGCAAGTGGCTAAACACACATTCTCGGCTGATAAATTGCATTGGAGACATGAAAGCTTCATAGAGGACGCCCTTCTTTCTCGGCTGATAAATTGCATTGGAGACATGGGTTCAAACCCCACCTCAGCATGATTTATAGTAAAATCACAGGGCTTATCCAGGTGAAAAGAGAAATATAAGTTCCAGCACATGTCTCAGCAAGAGATCTGTGGCTCACAGGTAAGAGTGCTGCCTCATGGTTTCAGAGGTTGCTGGTTCAATCCCAGCCAGATCTCCGCGATACGAGTGAATGCTGTGTGTGTGAAGGGGATGGGGACGCGTCGGGTCCCCCCCCGAACCCCGCCACAATGTCCAGCAGGGGTTATGCTTCTTGATACCATCAAAAAGAAAAATTTAGCAGACTCAAAATTTTGGCCCGCCGTCCCTTCCCCAGCTATTTAGGTTCCCATCATTTGCTTTTTAAAGGGGTGACCCTCCAAAAAGAAAATGATGGTAACCTACATGTTTAGTGCCAAACAACAACATTCACACGTTACAAGTCTTACCCGTCCATCAGCAGAAGTCCATCATTACAGTGAATGTCTGTCCAGTGTCCACACGTCCCAGAGCTCTGCTTCTGATGACTGGACACTCCAAACACATCCTGTATTCTGTAGAGGAAACATACACACAAACATTACTACATACTGAATAACTAAAACATCAGAATTTAATGTCTAAACAATAGTTAAATGTAATAATCGGTTACATAAACTAAAGTCCAGTGTACAGTCCACTGTACTGTACAGTGTAAAAAATATATATAATACATAGTATGAATGCTGAATCAATAATAATATTTTGGTTCAATCTATTGTTCTTTTAAGTAAGTTACTGTCTTACAGGCCACAGACCAATAGGAACATTGCATAGAAACAAACACCCTCCTTCAGCTGTGAGTGCTGACCAAAAAATAACGCTGTAAATTTTTACATTATTTGGAACTTTTAAGGTCATGATTATGTTAAATAAACACTATAAACAATTAATAAAAAAAATTAGATCACAAATCTAAGTGTTATTGGGTCATAGGTAGTTATTTAATAGATTATAGGTAATATATTATTACTTAAGGTTAGACTGCAACAACGATTCTTACTTCATAATATGAATATCATAGGGCGATTCATTCAAAGATTATAAAGGCAATGCAAAAACAACTGATTCATTCGTTATTCTACAAGTCTGACTGTGACTTCAACAAGAGAGGAGAATGTAAACAAAGTCTGTGATAAAGCTTCATAGAGGACGCCCTTCAAAGCCTTCATAACTGTCAGTCAAATAACAAGACTTTACGTCAAAGACCACAACAAAATGAACGTTTAGTGCGTTTCAGTTCATGTTTGTTCATTTTATAGTCACAATAAATGCAACATTCAATCATCACGACAGAATCTAAATAAACTGACATGAGCCCTGCTATGAAATATCAGAAAGCAACAACACATAGCTACTTAAAAACTTAAACATTGACTTAAGAGCACAGAATAACGACTTTAAGTCTTAATAAGATAATGCAAGAGAAAAGCACTTTATCTGTAGTTTAACGTTAAGTTACATACAGTTGAGTCGCTCGCGTGACATCTTTGCTTCCTGAACTTTATCGCAGCGTGTGTCGGATTTGTTTGTTTATGGTCTGAAATATGTGTTGTTAAGTGGCATTAAGATACTGTCATCCGCAGTTTATGTATTTTAAACGGTCTGCACGTATTGTGGCCCATGGTTGTGGCCACTGTAACAAGCATCATGTTGTCAAGCATCATGTCAAGCATCAGAAGCTGTCAGACTGAGCCTGAAACTCGTTGACGCCGCCTAGAGGAGCGGATGGAAAACTGCACTTGAGTTTCGACCAAACGAGCCGTATTAGGCCAGCTGATTCAAAGTTGTATCAAAGGTCACTGACTATATTCCAAAACGTCACACATATTTTAACACTTTCATACTCAACAAAAAGTCCCTATTTTTGTTAAATGCGAGAAAGGCAAGTGACAAACACGTGATCATCGGCTCCCTCTTGTGGTCAATAAGTGTATCTGAAGCATTAATAATTGAAACGACATTATAACCAAGGGGGTAATCCATCGACCGGAAGTTGAAGCCGGCCGGGTGCCGCCATGTTGTAGCAGAACTTCACTTGCGTTAGCATTTCCATTGACTCCCATTCATTTTGGCGTCACTTTGACAGCGAATAACTTTACATCTGAGGCGTTTAAAGACTCCATTTGTCCATTATTTATTTCTAAAGAAACACGACAATGTATAAAGGGCTCCATTACCTTCTATGTTACATTATGGCCCCGTAGAAACTTTTTTGTAAAAATAGGCTAACGATTGCGTCATAACCACTCGACTCTCTGTCGCACTGTACAGAAATTACCGTACAGACAGGAGGAGAAGCTCGCAGGCAATCGGGGGGACGTCCCGTCAAGGGAGAAGCCCATAGATAATGAGTCCATAAAAGCAACGGAATACTTACTCCTGCTGAGTTGGAACTGAGTTCCAATGAGATGGCTCTGTCCACTTCTTATACTGTCTATGATTATAACCGAGGTGGCGGCATTATAAGTGACTGAAATGTACATGTCAATTAATATATTTTCCGACAAATCTATGATTTTTAAAGGTCTGTGTTCTGTAACGGAAACATTCAGAGTACAATGATCTACCAGTTTCAGAAAATGAACCAGAGCTCTCAACTGATGGGGTAAAACATATGAAATGTCTTGTTGTAAATGTATAAAATCCAGGTCAATTTTCTTCTTTTATTTTTTTTTGTATGTTTTAAATAGCTGTTTGTTTGTCTTTAGCTATTTAGGATGATATGCATCATGTTTGTTCATAGTTTAACAATGCCTTTGCTCGTGTTGTTGTGTCAGTTCAAGGAGGTTTAAGCCGCTTTTAGCATGATTGGGTATTTAAAACATAGGACAGATCAAACAAAGTCTACAGCCCAGGCGATCGGCAGGTCAATGACCAGTTTGGTGGTCCTGGAGCGCCACCTCTGGTTAAACCTCAGGGAGATCAAGTACGCGGACAGGACCGCCTTCCTTGACTCCCCAGTGACAGCCACCGACCTGTAGATGGTTCCGCGGACCTCATCGCCGCAGCAGAGAAGTCTCCGCAAGCCATGCACTACTTCCTCCCCAAGCGCTCGGTGGCCTTTTCAAGTCTCCAGAAGGCTCCGCCTAGCCAACAGCCCCCAAAGCCTGCCCTGTCGCCCACAGAGCCTAAGTCCAAGCCAGAGCCTGAGCTCCGACAGCGTCCTGAGCTAACCAAGCGCTACCCCTTTCCTAAACGCCAAGGCCCCAACCCTAGATAACACTGGACCCTGAGCCGCAGAAGCTGTCCTGATCTGTCAGGAAAGAAGAGGAGAGGGTTAAGTCCCGCCGAGGCCAGACCACCCTCGATAAAGTCTCTAGTTTGCCTTCCAACCCCCCATTCAGTTCTGGGCATTGGAGGCAGTGTACACACTGCCAACGCTGGGCCAGTCGCATCCCCACTGTACGTGGTTAAACCACAGGGAGATTAAGGACGCGGACAGGACCGCCTTCCTCGACTCCCCAGTGACTGCCACCAGCTTGTTCGGACCAGCTGTAGATGTTCTGCAAACTACCGATGTGATAGCGGACCCACTGGCTACAAAGAGCACTTTTCCTCTTCTCAACAGCTGCCTGCCCTGATGGGACTGACTTCCAGAGGGAAGGTTGTCACAAAAGATGACGCCAACTCGGGTTGTGGAGCTCTGTGTGAGGCCAGACCGGCATTCATCTCCTGGTCCAGCCTGGAGCAATGCATGCAAATCAATGGCCTTGAAATGAAGGCATTTTTTCTGCCAGCCCTACAAAGGGCACCACTTCATGGTCCATTCAGACAACATGACTGTGGTAGCCTTCATAAATTGCCCGGGCGGCCTCAGGTCGTGGTCTCTTTACAAGATGGCGAGACGCTTCCTTCCATGGGCACAGTGCAATTGCCGGGAAGGTTGAACCAAGGGGCGGAAATGCTGTCCCGGGGAGGGGTGTCTCCTGGAGTCTGGAGAATGGAGGCTCCAACATCAATTGGTTCAGATGATCTGGGAGATCTTTGGGAGGGCAGAGGTAGACCTCTTTGCCTCAGAAGAAAACTATCATTGCCAAATATTTTTCTCAAGGGAACAGGACGCGATGGCTCAGGATTGGCCCGAAGCTCGCCTGTATGCCTTTCCCCTGATTGCTCTGCTCCCTCAGGTCATCAGGAGAATCAGGGAGACCAGATGTTCAGTGCTATTGGTGGCTCCACTCTGGTGAAACCAGTCATGGTTCCCCAAGCTGATACAGCTGTCATTCCTGATTCCGCTGAGGAAAGACCTTGTCTCAGGCAAGAGGGTCCCTTTGGCATCCACAACCCGAGTTGTGGAGCCTACATCTGTGATCCCTAGACGGGAGCCTTTGCAACTCCCTGTGATGGCCACCACGATAGCAGAGGCCAGTGTGGCATCTACAACACACCTCTACACTCTTAAATGGTCTGTCTTCTCTGACTGGTGTGACAGTCCAGAACGAAGACCCATCCGTTTGCGATGTATCAGCCATTCTGTCCTTCTTACTGGAGCTGCTAGATAAGGAGCGTACCCCTTGCATGCTCAAGGTACACGTGGCAGCCATCACAGCGAATCACGCCCTCATGGTTGGCCAGTATGTAGGAAGAAATTGCTTGGTCATCAAGTTCTTCAGGGGAGCCAGGAGACTTAACCCGCCTCACCCTCATACTGTTCCGATCTGGGCCCAAAGGACTGTGGATGGAACCGATAAGTTAACTTTATTTGGACAGCTGTGGCAAGAGTCTCCCCAAGGTCAGCATAGACTACCTCAAATACCACATTGAAGTGACGCCTAGAGCCCGACCGATTTATCGGTCTGCCGATTTTATCGCCCAATATGAGCCTGTCGCAGATATATCGGTATCGGCGTATATGACGCAGATATGCCGCCAATATTATTATTTTTTTACATAACATATAACGTGAATGAAATGCTTGTAAATTGTCTAACTACGTAGTTTGTCCAGCAGAGCATGCTCCATTGTTTTCTAATGGCGACCCATGTCACTGTTGTGACACCAGTCAACCCTTTCACTTCAGTAAAAAGAGGTCTCTTCAGACATGGTGTAAGATGCACACACATTAGCTTCCACTCCACTGACAAGGTATGAAACATGGCTAGCTACCTAATGTAGCAAACGAGTATGATAAGCTCATTGTGAGAGTAGACGGTGACTCTTCCAGTAACAATGCACTAAAACAACTAAACCACAAAGAATTTACAACATCCTATGATTATTTAAGACAGATTGGCTCTGTACAATTTGCAATTGACTATATTTTCATTATGAAAGTGATTCCAGGTATCAGTGCGTGCTCGCTTTTGAAGACATATAGCTTCACTTTAGTTCTCCTGTCGGAACGATATGCAGTCCCATCGCTAACCAATCAGACCTCAAATTACAACCCAAAATGCCACGATAAGCGATCAGAGAGAAAAATACTCTTTATCAAAGTCACGTGATCTTCGTTTTCATGATCGATCATCACTGTTACTTCTGTGTACCCATCCCTAATTTGGAGCAGTTTCTACCCAATCTAATCTAAAAAATAAAAATTACTGTCATATTGAGTGTTTTCCAACATGATTTAACCATGTTAATACATAGTAACACACTTTAACATTTTTAACATGTGTATTTTGGTGTTGTATGCTATTAATTTTTATTTCAAGGCTCTGATTCATATGTATTCATTCTGGTGGAAAAATACAACCAGATTCATTGGAAACCGGCCATGTTTGTAGATTCATTCACCGTGACTCAGATCTGGAACTATGAAAATTCCAAATTAAAGGTAAGAAAACAGATTTGCGATGAACCCAACTATGGACTATGCTTGTAATAAAACCAAAAACTAACATTTCTACACTTTTGTGAGTGATGTAGTTTATTTCTACCTTATCATGTTTCAGAATTATCCCCAGAGCCTAATATAGCCTAATTTTGGGTGTTGTGAATGAACACCATTACTGGATGCTACTGCTGAGAACTGATGCAGTATATAAATATTTTCATTTTGATTTTATGGAAAGGAACAGGAATTTGGGGAAGTGCTACCAGCACATTATAATAGCCTATAAAGCACTTTAATGGATAGTGTATGGATAAATATAGAAATTTGATAAAATATGCACTTCTTGTGACTGCAAATAGTAAATATTAGCCTACAAAAAGGAGAAACATTCAGGCTGAGATAGTTTTGGATCAGAGAAGGTTTATACGAGCATAGACTGTTCAAAAAAAGTTTATAGCCTGACTCTGCTGCTACCTGTTACTCGGACTGACACTCCCTTCCTGGATCTCAGTCAGTTTCGCTTCCTCTTCTTACTCTACTATTGGTTAAATACATTTCCCCACCCTGTAAAGGCGTTACCGTTCGCCAGTCTCATTGGTCAGATTCGTCGATCGATCAAATTGACATCGTGTAAACTAACACACCCATCAAAACCAGCTTTTCGTCGCTTGGCTTACTAACGTTTCTTTGCATCATCATCAGAAGAAAGTGTTTGAACCTGCGAATATGGCCAAAGGGTGAGTAAATAAATGTCAACAGAAGTTTAACGGTCTTTCCGTTTTGTGCTTAATTTAACGTTACTCAACTCAAAGTTGTATTGATGGTTATTAATATTACTTAGGGGTATTTAGTGTGCATCATAATGACTAGCATATGCATTTACTTAACTAACGTTAAACTGTACATGTGATCTTTTTGTTTTGGGTAAAGATGCTATTTTTGAACGTATATTTTTCACTCGCAAACAGGCATAACATCCGGTGCGTGTTAAAATGCACAAAACTGATATGCGCATTGCGCAACGACCAGCTGGATTTTCTGTTTGAAGCTTCATGTCTATAAATATTTGAGAGATCACATTTTTCGACATTATTACCGTGTTGAGTCTTCGAGCTTTGTTTGAAGTGGAGGTAATGCCATTTACAAACAGCCTCTATTTAACGTTTTCCAGATGCGAGGAACTGCTGTTGTAACTTTCACACAGTTCGGTTATTAATGAGAGTGACAATTAACAACAATCACATTTTATTACATGATTTGCTTACTATCTAATATCTTTATGGCTTTTTCGGTAAATCTGCATTGTGTGAACGGAGCTGCACTTGACAGCTCCGTTGTCGTGTCGTGTCACACGTTGCGTGTGTGTAGCCTAATGTTGAAGACATGAAGTCTGAATTTAACAAAAAAAAAAGTGTTTTCATGTCTGGGTGACTCACATTGATATGAGCTGTGGGTCATCTTATAGTTATAGATCTATTCACTGTCTTCCCCTTGAGATTTGTTGTTCGTTCATGACCTTAATGCTGCACTGAACACTTTTTATGAATAAAAAGGCTTGAATGAACTCGCTTCTCCATTGTACTCTTGTCAAATTGATTGTGATTTAGAATTTCAGGTGTGGACTGTCGAGAGAAACCGTGCTTTACGTCGGGTATTTTCTTCGGACATAACATGAATACACCTCTATTGTGAATTTGTTTCTTTCTATTTCTGAATTAAAAGTTATTTAGATATATATTTTGTAGGACTTAAAGGAAAATTCTAGGTGTAGTAAATGTCTAAAGATCTATAAAAAAATAAAATAAAAAAGAAAGAGAGAGGGAGAAAAAAGTTCTCATATTCAGGCATATTTTTATTACTATAATGTTGAGAAAATCACTGCTTAAAAAGACATTTTAAAGAGTGTTGATTGATTTAATTTTGTTTGTTTATTATTATCATTTTAAATATATGAAACCAACACAAATACAAAGATTACATTTCTAATAATGTGACGTGTTGTAATATAGACTTTTAAAAGATTTATCCTTGTTATCGTCTTAGAAAACCTTTGGACATTTCTGACTCATGTTGATAGAAGAACTAAAATAACCCCCAAAAGCCACAGTAGCCATAATATTACTAGTTATTATTATAATTGCTTTCTTCACTTGGCAATACAGCCAGACTTGACTCATTCTAGACTTTCAATGTCATACTTTGTTTTTGTTTTTTTGTTTTTTTTTCAGCAGTCAAGGCACCAATCAGGAGCTCTCAGATGTGCTGAACGAAATGTGGAAGGTGGATGTGAACCGCATGAAACCTGGAAAAGACTATAAAATCAACCTACAAGTAGGTGGTTGGGGGAGGAGACTGGTTTATGAGAATAATATATACATATAAATATATAATGTATATGCATTTAAGTAAAGACATAAGGAATGTTAGATTCCATGTACATGATAGCTGGTGACTTTAAAACACTATGACTTCTTTTGCATGATTTAAGGAGAATCAATTAGTCATTTATAGTGGATTTGTTTTCACACAGGGGAAGGCTGGATTTGTATCTGAGGGCAGTAACAGTGCCAGGGACAGCGCTAGAGCTCCTCTCTTCTCGTATGTCAATGAAAACAAGCTCAAAAGCATTGATACCTATGCCTGTAAGAAACCATGGGCTGTTTCTATACTAACTTGTTTCTAATTGCATCCTTATACATAAATCTAATTAATACACTTGTTTTCAGTTGTCATTAAATTGACAGATATAATGCAATGCATGGCAGTTTAGACACCTGTTTAATCTACTTTGTGTCTTCTCAGACTTCATAAATCTGCTGGACAATTATGAGATGTCTACAGGAGTGGCTGAGCAGGTGACAAAAGAGGAGGTCAAGGAGAACAATCTTTTCCTGGATGCCATTCTGAAGACAGAGATAATGAAGGTACCTTATCGCATTACTCAATGGTCTCGTTTTGCCTTCCTATTTAGTATCTATTTTACATCATGTTTGAACATGTTGAAATTTAGCAACTTAAAGAATGTGTAGTTTGTGTACTATTGACTCTTATCCGATTGAAAGTGATCATTCCTGACCAGAGTGAAAGTAATTTCATTTATATTAAAATAATTAAATATATATTGGTTTGTAGTGCACTGCCTAGCCTTGCAAAAACTATTGATAAAAAAAAAAAACACTTAAGATAAACTAATAATGGTTTAATGTAGTGGATGGAAAGTGGAGAGTAAATATGACCATGTGAAGCAACTGTGCAAATGTAGTACAGAGATGTTGGTTCAAGGAGGAAACTATTACACAAAATGAAAAGACATCATCGTGCAAACACATGCAACCATTAACACAAGTGAAAGAAAATATTATAATATAGTCCGGTTCTGATAGGTTTTGTCTTTGCAGTGTGCCCACAGGTATTTAGTACGCAAAGGTCGAGCCCAGTCGGATCCGGCTCAGTTTAAGAGGCAACTCTATGATATTTGGTTCAAGCTCTATCGCAGAGACAAAAGTGGAGGGTGAGTTAAAAACCTAATTTGATTAGTCAAGCATACATCTGTGTGTTTCAGACATATGACCTGAATTGGGTTTGTTAGATGAGTAACTGACATACTAATGACTTTTGCTATGAAACAATCACTTACCATCATATTGCTTGAGGCTTATGTGCTAATAACTTGTGTAATTTGTATGCCCAGAATTTATACATAGATAATTTTATGTTTATCTGCCCATCTCCCTCTCATCCCTCATGCAGTGAAGATTCCTGTGGATTTGAGCATGTGTTTGTTGGTGAAACCAAGCATGGCAAAGAGATCATGGGCCTCCATAACTGGGTCCAGTTTTACCATCAGGAGAAACACAATCATGTGGACTACAAAGGATACAAGGCCAGAAATAACAAGGACACGGTATTTCATCATTTAATAATGATTTGACAAGGAGACTCTTGTATAATCATGTTAATATAACTTTGTGTGCATTACTTTCAACATTTAAATTTGCACTGTGGTTCAATCTCTCAGCCCGATGAGGACGATCACGTCTTAAACCTGCAGTTCAGCTGGAATGGTCTAGTCAAGCCAGTGGGCAGCTGTTTCATAGGCGTCAGCCCAGAGTTTGAGGTGGCTCTGTTTACCATCGTCTTCCTTCTGTCTGATGAGCGTATGGCCAACGTTAAGGTTAAAGTGGATGAGTACCTGCTGGAGATTGTGGTGTACAGATTTGGAAACGCCATTGGGACATCATACCCCAAAATGATCAGCAGCAACAACCGGGATCTCTAGGTCTCACTGAAAGGTGAATACTAGGGAAGGCTAACTAGGAAAAAGGGGGCTTTATAATCCAAATTCAGTTTGTGATCCTTAAATCCTTAATCTTGAACTGGTTATGTCATAGGTATTTTTTTTTTTGTACCACTATTAGAATTCTGCATAATTACAGTTTAATTTGTCATAATTACACTCAGGCTCTTATAGTTGGGTTAACCATAAATTGCTTAGAAATGTGTGTTTAGCCTATAAACAGCTGAGCTATAATCATAGATAATCATAGACCAAATCTAACTGCTACAAGCTTTTAGAAATCTTTTTTTTTGTAATTGAGCAGTTGCATTTTATAAATCAAACTCTTATATATATTTTATTAATCTTAAACTGTCAATGGGATGATCTTTGAATGGCGTGCAGGCTCAACTATGCACTAGACAAAGCGGAGCGTGGAAAATGAACACGGGCCTTTATAGAAGAATAATGTCGTTTACCCTTTTGTTTTTTATCTGGAACTGCATAATAAAAATTAATCTGCTAAAAAAATAATTTAGCTTTTTTTTTTGTAGAAATAGATATTTTGAAGTATGTGCCAAAACCTTTACTGCTGGTACAGTCATATATGTGTGCCTTTTGGTTGTTAAAATAAAGACATTTTCCATATATATAACATCTTGATGTATTTGTTTATTAATATGTTGTATTCCAGCACTTAATACAACATTTTAAATTTCTTATTTGTAATTTCTGCAAGAGCTTTTGGATATTGTCAATTTGTGATTGTAGAAGAGCGATCTTAGTGATGACAATGAGATGATACATATTTTCCAAAGTGAAATTACTGCTTTAATTTGAGAGATTTGTTAACACTTGGGTTAATGAGCAAAAGTTCAGAAATGCAAAACAAAATCATACAAATATAAGATTGCATTTCTACTGTTGTGTGAAATCTTGTGAAAAAAAAAAAAAAAAGATTAACCTTTTAAAAGGTTCACAGCATAAGATCAAGACTTAAGATGACATGAAACAAAACATTAAACCCAGTAAAACCCATTACATGTATGATACAACGCTAAATAAACAATTATTAATCAAAAGAAATAAAAATATAAATGATGTTCCGGAAATTTCCATATGAGACTTGAAACTGTGATTCCTCTGTTCTGTGTGTCATTGCATGTGTCAATCAGATTAATTTATTTCCAGGACTTCCTGGTGGTCTTAGTCACCTTAGCTCCCCTTTGATGGTCACTAACACGGTTACGCAGAACTTTGATGTCGTACTTCTGTCTCTTCAGCTTCTCTGCCAGGTCAAACTTCTCAGCGTGGAGTTGACTGAGCCACTTCCAAAGGTCAAGGGCTTTCTCTCCCAGCTTTTCCTGGTTGAGGTGATCAATGTTGAGGGGTTTGCGACGCTCCAGCAGACATTTGGTCTTCTTCTCACGTTCCGTCATCTTCTTTCCCTTCTTCTGATCTACCTTCTGCAGGTAGCCACCGTAGCCCTTGTTAGAAAGGATCTTCTTCTTCCTGGCTTCGTCCTCAGCTCGCAATTTGGCGGCCTCTTCCTCACGCCGTGCCCTTTCCTCTGCAAAGCGTGCCTGTTTCTCGCGATCGCGCTCGGATCTGACGCGCTGCTGTTCGGCACGATCGGCCCGACGCCGCTCAATACGGCTCTTCAAAGCTATGAGGTCATCCTCCTCCTTCTGCCTGGTGGAGAAGTGCAGCTCAATGAGACTCTGCAATTCATTGAAGTCCTTCTCCGCACGCTTCCGGTGGAGGTCATCAAAGTCCAGCTTCTCTCCATCAGGCAGCTTTGGTGCCATAATGTTGGGAATATACATTTTGGGCTTGGGTTTGAAATCCTCTTCTGCCTCTTGTTCATCTTCTTCCTCTTGTTCTTTCTCATCGGTTTCTTCTTCCTCCTCATTCTCTTCTCCAGCCTCCTCCACCTCCTCTTCTTCTTCCTCTACCTCCTCCTGTTCCTCCTCAAACTCCTCCACAAACTCCATGGTGTCGCACATGGTGCTTCTTTTGGGAAGAGGGGGTCACTGAGGAAGAATGTCCGGCTGATGGTAAAGATCCTAAAGGGACTGAGATGTTCTCCATGGATGCGTAGTGGTTTTATAGGGTCCTCCCTCCCCATGTGACGTTTGCTAAATGGCTCTTGGATAAGCTTTTTGAACAGATGCACGTAGGATCTATTTTCTACTTTACAGGACCTTGTCTTGTCCAATACCCAGACCCTGACCTCTAACCTCTGACTCTCCCACCCTAAAACCTTTGTCCTTTGTGGTGTGAAGAGGAGCCTATTTCAGACTTAAAACAGATGCACACACACACTTGTGCATTGGTAGGGATCTTGTTTCACACCATGTTTGAATAGATTAACTGGGCACCAATATTTAGGCATTGATTTAATTGTCTAAGTTGTCTAATTTATCAGTTGTTATACATTTCATCTGTTGCTTTGAGTATAAACTATGATTTATTCATTTTTAGGTTCATGGAACTCTCATTATTTCAATTTCTGTTTGAAAATTATGAAATGATACAGGGGATTTTGTACCCCACCCCTGAGACAATGTGACCTGGATAATGGTAGACAGAGAGATAACAGACAAAGGCAGACAAGTGTTCAGTGGCTTCTGTACAACTATTTGTGTATTAACATTTCAGTTGGCTCTCTCTGCATGCCGTTGGAAACCTATGGAACCACCACCAGTCCTTTGGGAAAATAAACACTGTCATGCCAGTTTTCTATTTGATAATGTGGGGAAAATCTTCTAAAAAGTATATATATATTAAATTGAGTGACAAAAGTTAATGTTAATTTAAAAAAAAAAAATTAATTAAATGCTGTTCTTTTGAAATGATCTAAGAATCCAGTTTCAAAAGATGTTTCATGGTTTCCACAAAAATATTAAGTACAACCGTTTTCAAATGTACTTGAGCAGCAAATCAGCATAGAACGATGACACTGAAGACTGAAAATTCAGCTTTGCCATAGCAGGAATAAATTACATATATAAAAAAAACATTCAAATAGAAAAAGTGTTATTTTAAATTGCAATAATATTTCACTATATTACTGTGTTTCCAATGTGTTTCTACAGATGCAATATCATTCTAAAATAAATAAATAAAAACATCACTGAAAATGTTAACTGCTAAGAGCATAGCAAATATTTTTCAGTTACCCTTTAAAAGCATTGCACTTTAAATGCTTTGCGATTGTTCTGAGAAATTCCCAATGAGCTCTGGAAAGAGTTTGTCTCTAGTGTGTACAGAGAAAAAAGAATCTCTAAGCCACTTATTGAGATGGTTTGTTTTAGGATCATGAAGGAATTTATGGTTCTCCATTGGTCTAATTCTCCCATGCCACCTCTTATTAATGTTGGTTTTACTGTTACAGCATTGTGCACTTATATAAAGTAGCTTAATTGTGCCACTCTTATGTCCTTTTCTATTTTCCTCAATAATAGACAGGATGAGTGATACCTCGAGAATGAAGGGTAATTATCTCCTTCTTCCTCCCTTGTTTGAATATAAATAGTCTTCATGAGCTCACTGTACCCTTGTATTGAGGAGTGATTCTGTCAACCTGCAGTCTGCCAGTATGTTATTTGTGAAATTGTGAGTGACAGGTGGAGGTCTTATTTAAAACAGATTCCTCATTGGTCAGACGCACGCAGCGAGGGACAGCTGCATAGGGGCCCATGTGTTTGCGACGATTTACAAGATCCCCAAATAGCCGAATCGCAGTTACAATAGCAGTTTATACTCTGCAGTACATTTTTTTCAATAAATAGATAATTCTACATGCATTAAAAACAATTCCTCGCTATTTTTGTACACTAGTTATCGCTATAGACATCGTCAAGCTAACTTCCACGTGCTTTGTAGACTACTTTCTTTTGTATTTGCCACTTCACTTTGTGTATATTATTTGTACTTGGAGAGTAAATTTGTTTCGTCTTTTAGTAACCTAGCTTTGATTTTTGCACTTTCAGAATTGAAAGCAGATGACTTAATATGCAAGTTATAACGTTACCCTACAGCCTACAGAAAATTCACCTCGAAAGGGGAATATAGTAATTCTTATCTGCTGATTATTTGTTCTTTTTTAAGACTTTATCTAAAAAATGATATAGAATTGATACCTTTTAGTTTATATTTGCTGTCGATCAATGATGACGTATCCCTTCGATAGCTCAGTTGGTAGAGCGGAGGACTGTAGAGGTTTATCACTGTCATCCTTAGGTCGCTGGTTCGAATCCGGCTCGAAGGAGAACATTTTTGGCAAAACGTTGTTTTGTTAGAAATGTAGTACTTTGTTGTATCAAGTTGCAATCTTATATCCAATTATTGACGATTGATGTAAATAAATTAAGCTTTTCATTGCTAGCCTAAATAAAATAATACAAAGTGAAACTTACTAGATGGAAATGAATGTGTAATAAAACTTAAGGTACAATATCCAAAAACCACTTGGCCAATGATATATATTTTGATTAGTTGATTACTTACCATATCCCAAATGTTTCCAACTATTTTGCGATTTTAACCAAAGAAACGGGGGGTGTGGGCAGGGGTGAGGAGTCGCCAGTCAATGGCGTCATATCCGCGTTACCCCCGGTTTCCGCCAGGTTTGACCGTTTGACCTCGTACTGCAATAGTAACCATGGCGACAGACGTTGACAACTGGGTTATGCCGGTGTGGTGATAAAACTAATCAATGTTATGTAGTTCAACATGAAGTTAGAATATGATCTGTATGTTATTCTCTAATGTTAATCTAGCTTAGTCTCATACAGCAAACAAACAACCTAACTAACAACATTCCACCCACAAATGCCGTTTAGTGTGATAGTGTAACTGTTAGAGCAAATGAAACAGCGCTGTGTTGCAGTTTAATTCCTCTAATAAACTGACCTGTGTGAGTATTAATTCAGCATTTGCGTGTAGTTCGGTAGAATGAAATGCCCTTATTCCTTTATATCCGCGGGACTCGCGTTGCATGTGGCGCTGGTATACGTCTAGCAATCGCGCCCTGCTTCATACCACAGTCATGTTAAAAACATCAATGTATTCACTCATCCATAAAACGATCCATTAGCTTGACGACAAGATCCATAATTCCGCTTAATGCGGAAAATACGTCATTAATATACGCCTTTGTTATTGTAGGAGGTTAGCGAGCCCTGGTGGCGAAAAATCCTGCATATTGTATTTGTAGCCTACCTTTAAGTATAAAATATATGGATAGTTTCCCATCATCATGTTTAAAGTTTACCAACCTACAACAGAATACTCAATTGTACTCAGATTGTATTCTAACCATGAAATGCATTAATGCAGTCAATAAATTGTTTTCTATTCAAGGTTCCCACACTTTCTGGAGCTACCAATGTTGAATGCGAGCAGATCACATGAAAGAGAGAAACAGCGCTGCCATGTGGACATAGACAACATTTATGTCAGTGTGTCACACCTGTGACAAACAGATTTTTACCTCCTCTTTCTTTTAATGAGGGAGTTTCATTTCATTTCATGACACTTTCAGGTGATTCTTTTTTATGTCAGTTCTTCTTTTTTTATGCCAGTTCTTTATTTATATATATTAAGCGGTGACATATCCTGTTTGTTGTCCCACGCAACATTCATTTCACAACTAGACAGAGGTGGAAGAGTCTCGACCGTTCAGCTGTATGGTTTATGCATGTGTTAATGCCATAGACTGCGTAAAACAGGTTAATTTTTTATTTTATTATTATTTTTTATTTATTGAACAAATATAACATCAAGTATAGTGTCACAATCAAGAGCAAAAATAAACAACAATAATTCAGAAGACAAAAAGACAGTAAAGGGAAGTAAAATAAAAGCAAGTAAAAATAAAAATAATTAAAATAAATAGATAAAAATAAAAACATAAAATTGAGCCAGGGGTATAAAACAGGTTAATGCAGAAAAAACCTTGAATATTGAATACGTCACGTCTTACGCAAACGTGGAGGCGTGGCCAAGCTATTGTGTATTTTGAATCACTGCTAATGCTGATTTTTAGCATATACAAATTTATCACGTTTAATTACACACTTATTTATTTGGTTTGGTCCTGTGATACAGTGAAAATGACGAGGTTTCTAAAAGTTTCCAAACTTTCGCGCGTTTCGCTCTGTCCTTGTGTTGTAAGGTAAGCACTCAATAGTTAAAGTTTTTAAGCACGCACTATATATGCGTGATTATAATCTCTCAAGGCGTTTATGGCCTCAGCAATTTATTGGACACTCACTCCATCCTAAAAATTACACGAAGTTCATTTGTTTGAAAGATAGCATAAACAAACCCAAGTTGGTTAGGTTTTAAGTTGTGAATCAAGAATATTTTGCTTAAATTTAAGTTTAAAAAGTATTTGGGCCAATGATCTGTTTTCGACAATTTGTAGTTGACCTTAGTGAGCAAGTTCATAGTTAATGGTGATTAGTAAAAACTAATTTATTTGTTAATGTAATAGGTCATCAGCTATGCTGTGCAAGGGAATCAGCATTAGTCACCTGACAAATGAGTGACAGAACAGCATCCTGTAAGTAAATGAGCGAGACAACGTACATTTACACTTTATTAAACAAGCACAATGTGAGAGGAAGAGAAACACTGTGGTGAATTATATTTTCGAATAGTTTACAGCAATGGAGAGACACTCAAATAGAGAGGAGTAAACGGGGACTGAGAAGGTGGAGACAGATTTCAGTCTGAAAAGAGTAACTGAAAAGAAGATCACAAACGGCTGTAGTTGAGACAAGCAAAAGGAGAGTTCAAAAAACATAGTGCAAGCAAACAGCCCGATGAGAGCCTAAGTAATGTAACTTACTGGATGGACAGTCTACAAATGCTTTAAAAGGTTCGATTTTATGTTTTCATAAAGAACAGAGTAAAATTGATCCACAATAATTCCTTATATCAAAAATATATCAATGGGTCTATGACTACATGAAAAAGAGAAAGCACATACAATATTAAATATGTACATTTTGTTTGCAAGTATTCATCAAATCCTTATATACACAAAAATGTAGTCCCAGAGAGTCCAAACATGAACATAACGTTGACAGAACATTGCAGCTGTGCAGATTACAGAGCCACAACATAATTCCAATGTTCTCAGGATGTTGATGACCGCTTGGGTGAAGTCCCTGTGATAATGTACAGTCAGTTTTGAAGTGCTTTGTGTTGATGTGCTTAGAGAGAAAGAATCATTCACTCCCTTGAATCGCTCCCGTCAATGGGATTTTGGGTTCTTCCATAAAAATGCAAAACATAACAACTCGAAAAAGGTGCCAAAAAAAGAAATCAGGCCTCTGCGAAGTCGTGTTGACCACTGTGCATGGACCATTTCTAAAAAAAAAAGAGACAAAAACGACACATATGAGGCTTCATAAAGCATAAGAACATAACAGTAGTGCTTGAAAAAAAGGTGTCTTCTTTAATCATTTAAAAAAAAAAAATGTGTGTATCATTTCATATTTTGGCATACAAGTAATTAACTACAAAACACTTTAAAAATGTAATATATATATATATATATATATATATATATATATATATATATATTTAAATATATGTTTGTAAAATATATGTGTAAAACCTAAATATATTTTAAATACATATATAATTATTTAAATGTATACATATATATATTTAAATTAAGTATTTTGTAGTTATATATATATATATACTACAGCATATATATATATATATAACATTTTCATAATTAATGTTTTTGCACATATAGACAAGCATTGACAGACCTGATGTTTAAGAGCTGCTCTGACGTTGGACTTTTGAGCCCGTGGCATGACCAGACTCCTCGCTGTGTCGTTTTCCAGATGTCAGGATGGTGCTGTGCAGCCCTCGTCCTGAGAATGAGATTTAAAGATTATAATGCTAACTGTAACATTTGCATGACATTAGACTGGCCTCTTGTTAAATGTGGAGGTCTTTACCTGGCTGTACAGCAAGACTTAAGTCTTGCCTGTAGCACATTGTGCCACTACTGTTGCCTGCAAAACCTGCAAGACAAACACTATAATGACATGTCTGGCATTTGGAAAAATAACAATGCTGCTGAGATTTATTGACATTGTTGATAATTGCAGATATAGATATTGACGTTGTTGGTATAGTGTTTGTACCTTGCAGTGACATGCTGCTGGTTGTTTGGTGGTCTCCTTGTGAGTAAACCATCCTGCCGTGCCATTCACCTTGTGAGGTGGGTGGCATCTGATAGCCTGAGATGAATAAAAAAAAAAAATCAGATATAGGTTTCTACACGGTGCTGTTTTTGCACTGAGGGAAGTTATATATATATATATATATATATTTTTTTTTTTTTAAAGTTGCAGCGACATCTCCTCTTCTTACTTCTTTCTTACTCCACTTATACGAGATCGCAGTAGTAACAAACCGCAACCATACAATCAATTACTAATGGCCAAATTCCCGCCCTTTATTTCTTTCTTGTTTGAGAAGCCATTTCACTATACGTCACAATAGGGAAGAAAAGACTATCGCAACTTCCGCTTCATGCCGACTTTAAGTTATGATTTAAGTTTTACTTAAGATATGTCTAATATTGGCATAGCTGGTATACAAAATAAAGAAGTTTGAGTGTGCAAACCTGAAGATGCAGTGATTTCCTTGGTCACATCTCCTGTTTGGAATCCCATTAAGGTTGTGGAATTCTCACCATTTCCATTAGCGTTGGACGGCACTGTTGCCAGCAGTCCTGTAGGGGAATGAGGCATCAGTCAGAGACAAAAAATGAACTCGTTTCAGATTCTGTTCATTTTCTGTTAATTCAGACATTGAAATCACATTCAATTTGCGCAAATCCTTTAAAAAATGAATAACCTAAATCAGCCCTCAATATTCAGAAGCTTATGAGTTCAGAAGGATTAAACACATTTACATTATTTTTTTGTAGGTAAAAGTATTTAGAAGTTACACCAATAAATGAGGCAGAAATCTATAGGGCAATATAGCGAGAGCGAGGTATGGGTTAGTGTGGCATTTTCATTTCCCTTAGTTTCTGTCTTACCCAGGCCATGGTAGCAGGACAGTTGCTGGTAGATCTGTTTCATACGCTCTATGTTGAGGCGGCTTGCCTCTGCGTGAAGCACCATGGGTTTGGGGTAGTGTACACCAATTATACATTTGGCTGCTTTCTGGACGCTTTCAGGAGCATTCCAGGGGTCGTAGATATACTTGGCTGGGAAACCCCTCAACACTGGCAAATATCGCCTTCAAGAGAAAACGGGAGTACATTTTATACATATATAATGTAATATATATATATATTACATTATAACATTACAATTTCTGGCTGTTATCTGTGACCAGGCCAGCAAGTCTTTGTGATTGAGAGCTATGGTATCCAGGTTAATGTCGGCACACCACCACGTAGGACGAACGACATCCAACAGGTGTAACTGTCGACGCATGAGGAAGCTGTCTGAAAGGGATGTCCCTTATTTGGTAACTCGTGACAAAGCCAAATGTCAGTTTCATTGGTGCCAACAGTGAAAATGTTGGGCTGTGGACAATGTGAAACATGTATTGTTCTCTGATGAGCCCACCTTTACTGTCTTTCCCACATCCGTGGTAGTTACAGTGTGGAGAAGTCCCAAAGAGGCTTAACACCTGGACTGTTGCGCAGCCAGAGTGAAGCACAGGGGTGAATCAATGATGGTCTGGGCTGCAATATCATGGAATTTCCTACTGTGCTTGATGGGCGCATCACTGCCAAGGACTACCGACCTATTCTGGAGGACTATGTGCACCTAATAGTTCAAACATTGTACCCTGAAGGGGGTGCTGTGTATCAGCAGGATAATGCACCAATACACACAGCAAGACTTGTGACAGAATGGTTTGATGGACATGAAAGTGAAGTCCCATGGCCTGCACATTCACCAGATCTAAATATTTTGAGCCACTTTGGTGTATTTTGGAGGAGCAAGTCAGAAAACGTTTTACACCAGTATCCCATAGTGACCTGGCCGCTGTTCTGGAAGAGGAATGACTCAAAATCCCTTTGGCCACTATGAAGGACTTGTATATGTCATTCTCAAGACGAATTGATGCTGTATTTGCCGCAAAAGGAGTACTACACCATACTATTAAATTATTATTGAGGTCTAAAACCAGGTGTTTCAGTTTCATTCTCCGACTGGAAATTTTTTGTTTTTGCATATGCTCATAATTTCTTTGTATGACACCCTTGACAAAAATTATATCAATGCAATTTGGCATGTTTTATTGTGTTATCACAAATAAAATAATTGACTCCAAGCACAACTACACAATATGCTAACAAAATCTTTAAATAAATAAAAAAAATATTATTTGAATAAAGGGTGAAGTCGTCAATTTGCTTAGGCCGAACATATATAATTTTTACTAAATGAAATTAGGCTGAAAATAAAATACATTTTGTTCAGAGGCTAGACCGTTTTTTAAAATTGTTCTTTGTTTACACTGTAGAGTTCTAACTCACCGTATGTAGTCTCCGTTGGGGTCGGGGCGACGGCCGAAGCTCACGGGACAGTAGCAGTGAAAGAACTGCTGGAAGAAGGAGCTGCAGGACAGCCACATCCAGCTTCCTGCATTCACACTCCAGTCTGCATCCAGCAGCAGCTCCTCAAAGACCTGTGAAGACAGATGCATGTGAGTGCTGTCATATTAGTAAAATACCTAAAATAATCACAATGAGCGCTTTTTACTTTCATGCCCTCCTCCCAGCTGATCCACAGGTCTCCACGGGTGAGGAAACAGGCGACTGCGTGTCGGGCCAGATGGTGGATCCAGCCCTCTTGCCTCAGCTGGGTCATGATGGCATCGATCCAGGGGAAACCCGTCCTGCCCTCAGCCCACTTGGCTAAAGCCTCTGGGTTTTTGTCCCACGGGATCTGCACACAAATGGGGTTGCCTTCCATCTTGTCGAAGCGTGGGTTGTTGGTGGCGGCCGTGTAAAAGAATTCACGCCACAGTAATTGGCCATAAAGGGACAGAGGAGGTGAGCTGTTCTTTTTGACCTGTAGGGAAAAAGTGTAATTAGCATAAGTGATTATTCAGTTTAACATGAGAGTCAGTTTAACATTAGAAACATCATTTGAAGTACATAAGATACATATGATGACATACTGACCTTTCTGTAGAGGTCTGTGAGTTTGAAGTAGAAGAGTCGACAGGAGAGGCAGCCGAATCTTAAATACGGACTTAAGCCAGTGGGACTGGCCAGCAGTGAATTGGCATTCATTCTTGGACGCTCAAAGTTGGCCACCCAAGCCTAGAAAAAAGGTATTTGCTATGAAATAATCATTTATTGACTGCACTCAACAAGGATGGCCAGGGGCTAGTTTGTCTTACAAACATAACATTTAGTTTTCTGTGATGTTGTTAAACAAGTTATTTAAATGGCAAACATACACTACCACTCAAAGGTTTGGGGTCAGTATATATGTATATACGTGTATGTATCTTTGTGTAAAAATATCACTTTATGACTTAATTGCTTTTATTTAAAGTCATAAAGTATATATATTAAAGTAGGATTGTGCATCTATGATCTGTGTTTTTAGATGCCAATATTATTAATCCTACAGTTGTGCATGTGTGATTATGGAGTGTCTCTAACCTTCCTCTCCAGGTGCCTCTCTAGACGAGTGAGGGCCTCTGTTTCTCCTCCAGGCCACACGGCTGAGGACAGGCCCTCTGTGTCAAAGCCTGTTTCAGGAAAAGCATTAACAATAACACTTTTTACATCGAAGCCTTTAGTTTAAACATAAAGACAGGTATGTCTGATTCCTTGTGCGTTTAAGGATGTATTACATACAGTAGTTTAGTATGCTGCACATTTTAGCTTGAATAAGTTTTTTTTTTGAGAGAGAGAGAGACAGCAGACTGACCAAGCTCTTCCAAAGAAGGAACCCCGAACTTCTCATCGTGGTCATCAGAGACAGGAGTGGTGCACGCCCCCATGACTTCTGCTGTGATGGTCTCTGCCGGGATCTCCACAGACTCCATCCTGCTAATGAGAGTCTGGTAGCGCTTGTACGTGAGCGGAGACTGGCCTCCATTCAGCTCAATGATCCTGAGAGACAACAATCCACCAGTGAGTAAGACAACAAAAAAGTCTTTACATTTGACTCTTCGCTAAGCCCTGCCTTAAAAATTACCCTAACAACTGTTGCCACGCGCCATATTAGACAAGCTTTTGATTTTTTCTAATGTCAATCTATGGTAATTCTGTGCGTTTGAGTAGTTACAAACATTTTTACAATTTTTACAAACATTATCTAAAAACATGATAAAATGTAGCAGAGGCACTTGTAATACTGACACAAGATAGCCAGAGAGGATATACTGTGATATACTGGCTGGCTAAATCTCGAGAATATCATTAAGAACACCTACATTTGCTCCAAAGTAAATTAGGGGGCTTTTAAATAAACTTTTTATGCATTTTGGCCGCTCATTTACACGACAACAGTGTTTTGGGGGCTTGAAATCTCAAACTTTTGAAAATGTGTTTCAAAGTGCAAGTTTTTGGAGGTTGGTGGAGCTTAGCAAAGGGTCAGTTACTACAAACAAAGTAATTATGAGGCAAAAGTTCTGACAAAGTTGGATGAATTTAGAAGTACGTACTTGTCCAGATCGTAGAGCGTGTGAGAGATGCGAACAATCACCTCCACGCCTGCCTCATTGGCCAGCTTCTTGATGGCTGCATCTCGCTCCTTTCCAAATGGCTCTGAGTCGTACTCGTAGGACAGACGAGTAATATTCCACTCCTGGACACGTTACAATAACATACCATTAGGGGGGCGCAAAAGATTCATCCATCGACACACAATAGTGGTAGAGAGCCAAGTCACAAAACGTATGGAAGATTAGATGTAAAGTGTCACATTTAAAGGATAAAATATATATTTTGCCTCAATTCCATCCAATCCAGAAATGTTTTCCTGGTGCAAGATTATTACTTTAGAAATCTAACAATTCAGTCAATTGAAATTGCAAATTGAAAGCTGGACCTTAAACAGCCTGGGGAAGACATCGGTGGGTTGGCCACGGATAACGAAGAGTCGTGAGTTTAGTTTGCGGAGGCTGGCATCCAAGTCTTCCAAACACTGCAGTAAAAACCTGAGCAACAAGAGACATGGCATGTATTTATAGCCACATACTGACAAATAATATCATGCATTGCACATAATATAAGTCTAATAAGGCAGGTCTACTCACAATAACTATTGCAGTGCTATTGCACTTTGCAACTGTAAAACATTTCAAAGAAGGCAAGGCATTGAACAAGGATAGGGTAAAAAATAACTATCCACTGACAGAATAATGGCTATAATTATAGATAATCTTTTGCTGAAGCTACAGCACATTGCAAACCTCACCCATTTTTTTATTTATGACATTAAAATCTAATTGTTTTTTTATAATTGAACATTTTCATTTTGTTTTTAATGATACATATAATTGATAATATGATAATTGCTTTGGAAAATAGGGGCACACTTAGGACATACATAATGTCCTAGTCAGCTTGACACCATTGACATGAGTACTACTTACAAAGAGCCATGCTTACAGTGAAAGAAACTGCTAACTGAACACTGATATTTTTATTAAGCAGAGGGCTGCCATTAAAACAGACTACTGCCCTTCTATAGCTTGCATTGTGCAGCAATTAATCATGCACTCCAATGACCCTGAATCAGGTACCTTGTAAACCAGACTTTTAACTACCATTAAAATTATGCATCCTTGGCATTGCTAGCACCATGCTCTTACTATGAGTAGTGCAGTCCTGTGTAAAATTTGCCATCAGAAAGCTGTGGATGGTTGCTGGTGCATTGATACAAGGTTGCTAATGTGTTCTGAGTGGTGTTACTATGTGGTTAATAGTGTTTTGGGTGGTCGCTTACTGTTCCAAGTCAAAAATAGACCACATGAGTCTCACATAAGAATTTTTTGGTTCCCTCCTTCAGTGTAAGACTACAATGTTGCACTATTTGAGGTATCTTTCATCTCTCATCCCATCAACAATGTAGACGAGTTACTTGCCAAATTGTTAATGTTGCATTTGCAAACTGCACCAGAGATTTATTCATTCACTTTTTAAGCACTGGGTAAGAATGTAACGATGGCAACTGTGATATACTGAATAATTGGATCATATTTTTATTCAGTGAAACAGTGAGTTGAATGATTCAGTCCATGATTGATATGAAGTCTTTAATATTTCAGTCTGATTCGCCCATTGGCTCATTATGAACCACGCCATGCGAGCAATTTGATCGCGAATTGTACGGAACATTTTTGATGTAGTGCTGTTGAAAACGTAGTGCAGGAAACCCAATGGATCGTTTAAAATAGCAAGCAGCAGCAATTTGAAGGGCACTTGGCCATAATGCAGTGTGTTGTTGACCCAGAAACCCAAATCCAATTGTCTGCAGGTTCGCACATTAAAGATCTCAACCTTAAATGCTGAGTAAGAGGAAAGCTCCAGTCTCCGAAGCTAACCTCTTCTCAACCCCCAGACTACCTTGAGTAATCCTGGCCAAACAATACTCGATCTCAAATTAAATCTCTCTAAAACTATGTGGTTATCACACAGTCAGACAAAAGAATTTTATGTAATTTGCATTTCAAGGATTCCTGTCTGGGTCTTAGTGCAGATCAGAGGCAGCAGACACTAGTTTAATGCGTCATCTTGGCATGACAGTTTTGTATCATTTTAGTGCAAAATCTATTTTGTTCTTAAAAACCATAAACCAACGAACAACCTAGCAAACACAGGTGACGCCCTAAAATCATGGCAGCAGGTTTGCATGGGTAAGCAGCATCATTAATTTATGCAATTTTCTGCAATTATGAGAGGCGAGTTTTGGGAGCAGACCAGATAATATTCCCATACTTTCTCACTAAGACATTCATTGGTATCGTATCGACTACTCAAATGTTAGTTGTAAAATTACACTACAAAACCAAAAAGACTTATCAGGCAGCTCTTACTGGTTGTGATAACCAAAATATTGATACTGTCTGTAATACTGTAATGCAGCATCATGTAATCAGGTTTCATCTCTGTGTGGAGGAAACGTGTTGTAGTAAGATCAGTCAGCCATTTGTGTAGAAAATTGTGTTTATAGACTAAAGTTCAAAAGTTCGGTAAGATCTTTTAAAGAAGTCTCTTATGCTCACCATGGCTGCATTTATTTAGTCAAAAATATAGTAAAAACGGTAACATTGTTACTTTCACACATTTGTGTTTTTGTAGTTCACACTGAGACGATAACAGTATTGTTTTCAAAAACTTGTACTTTGAAACCCGTTGCATTTTCAGGTCCCCAAAATGCCATTGTCGTGTAAATGAACGGCCAAACAGTTTTCAGTTTTTAGTTGAAAAACAGAGACAGATAAAAACTAGAACTTAAACAGAAGAAAATAACTAAACATAATCCTGACATCTCTCAGTTTTGGACCTCACTATATAAATGTTTACAAATGATTCATGCTGCACCAAAACATCTGTCCTTTTATTTCCGTACTGTTGTACCATCCTGCCCGCTCCACATGTCCTCACAGAAACGTTGTCCTCTACTTGCAGTCAGTGATAATGTGTAAATCCCTGTCTAAGCCGCAGCCTCCCTCTCTTTGTCACTGACTCGCTGCCCTATGATTGACCGCAGTGTCATGTTATAAGACTAGCTGCAGCATTGTTGTAATGATTGCAGAGATTATACAGTGCATCAAGTTCAAATGTGAAATGAAGTATATCAAGTTTGTGGTGCACGTTAGCAGTCAGTTATATAGGTGCAGAACAACATTTTGATATTTTAATAATATGAAATTTATATATATAAATATATATACACACACGTGTGTATATGTATATTTTTCCCCTCAATATTTTAATAACAATTAAAAATATATAATCACACTTTACAGAGCCAGTATGGAGCAAATACACTTCCAATAACCAAACAGGCATATTTTTATTAGTTTATTATTTTATATAATGTAAATTTCACCATCTATTTTCCCCAGTTCATGTAAACTAGATGGGTCCGATCAGAGCTTATTTTGATACCATAACAGGTCACTACGTTAGCATATTGTGGTAGTCATTACGATCACTCACTATAACACACTGACCCATTTCTGATCCCAACTCAATGGAGATACAAGAGAGCGGATTATCATCAGAGCAAACCATCAGATCACCTGTGCTGACAATTTTTTTGCTTGTCTTTTTTTGCATTTTACAGTCCCAAGTTCTCATCCACTTTCATTGTAAGGAAGAGAGCAGCATTAATATTCTTCAAAACTCCTTGTGTGTTCAACGTTGTTATGTCAAACCATTTGGAACGACATCAGGGTAAGTAAATAACATAACTTTTGTTTATGGATAAACTATACATTAAAGAGTTGACGGAGTGTAGTAAGCAAGCATGGGTGTGGTTAACTGATGCAAGGGTCTGTATTATGTAATATTGGTTGCGTCAAACAGAACTAAGGACAATGCTACAAATATATAGTCAAAATCTTTCATCTTTAAAAGAAAAATTATTTAATTTGATATTACGTGATGACTCTTGCTCAACCAGTCAGTAGACTCAAAAAGTTACAAAACATAGCCTAGCCTAGTTTCCCTTTAGTAATTCAGATACTAAGACATACTGTGTTATACATTCTGACTGCAATCAGTCACTCATTTTTATCTCTAATCAGTCTGTAAAATCACTAATTGATAACTGATAAATTGGAAAAATGTCTTTGTTAAAATTGTCCATAAGTCATGCATGTTGTTATTACTATACTTTTTAGACTGGTAATAGATTATAGGTTATTAAAATGGAATGGATACAGAACAAAATTAGATTATGAGAAAATAGGAATAGACTAAATTGAAAATTTAAAGTAGAATATAATAAATATGGAAAAGATTAGACCAGAATCGATCAATCATAAAAGAATGTAATAGTAATAGAAAGTGTGTGCCATCCTTTATAGCACACTACTCCAAATAAGATCTTGTAATGCATTCCAAGCGCATATATTTTATTATTTGGCATATTTGATCCATTACCTCCACCTGCTGATCCCGACGTTCGATGATCCGGCGAACCAGGGGTCAAGGATGTACACACAGCGGACATTGTGCGCTCCCTGGATGGAGTCTCTTAGTGATGGATTATCGTGGAGCCGCAAGCCCTTCCTGAACCAGTGGACCGTATTTACCACCATTACTCCACTCAAGTCCCTTTAACCGTTTTTAGTATGCTGGGGTGATAACGTTACAGTCAGACCTCCTTCACGTTGCACTACTGCACTCCAAAGTATAAACTCCTTTCAAATGCGATAAAACGACAAATATTGTAATAAAGTCACTATAAATGAGCGTTCAAATTATTCTGGATATCTCCGGGGGCGGAAATAATTAGCCTTGCTCTAACAAAACACTTTCCATCATTATGTCTAGTGGTTTGGAACGCGACCACAGTTGAAGCATTGGGACACGAGCTGGATAACCGCGCAACAGCCGATTACACGACTGGCTTTAGGACCAGGACCCAACGCAAAGTACGCTTCCCTGTTGTATAACTTGTTTTTCTAAATTATCCAAAATAATCAACAATACTGTACATGTTTTATATCTCGCATGTAGAGCAAGTTCAGCTTTGAGTTATATTCGATCTCAATGCGCGTGGTCTTCCATCTGAAATCAACGGAGTCCGACGTACTGTGAGCCCGAATCAGCGCGATTATGTAAATAACAATATGGGCTGGAGCCCCTCGTAACCGCGTTACAGGCAGTAAAATAAAGCAGTATCCCGCATGAAATGACACCACGTATTAGGTATCCTTCTTGTCTTGATTTGTTTTCCTTCAACGTTACGTAAAGTTGTAAATATTTTCCCACGGAGAAGGTTCCACACACTTTCGTCCATGCAATTCAGTCTGTCGACTAAGCTCCACCTTAATGATTGCGCACATGAAGTACCGCGTTCTGGTTTGTCAAGCCCTAATATGACGTCGCTGGTCCTCAATGACGTTTCTTTGGTGATCTCTGGGTGTGATGATGTGATGACTATACACTGACTAACCTATTATACTTTATAAAATGCTCTTCATCGCATAATGTGAATGAAGATTACTCTTTATCGTTTATGTTAATATTCATGGAATAGTAATGTCAAAATGTTATTGTTTATATCAAAACTATTAATAAATGCATAGAATTATTACAAATCATTTCTATACAAACTCTGCTCGGAGTTTGCATATATATAAACACTGCAAGCCTTGATTTATACATCTCCACTCCATAAGGACAGTTAAGGACTTTAGAGTGTAATCCTTGAAGCTGATTGGCTGGAGCTTCAGTACCCGGATAGGCACATGAGAAGCGACATGATCAAGCTCGTGTCCGTGCGCTGTTCTTTGCTGAACCGCGTGGCGCTGTTGAGTCGTGCTGTTAAAATCACCTTTTCTGTCTTTACAAGAAGTGTTGGCAGAAATACATTTTCTGCGCTTGCTTTGTTTGCATCAGTCCTTTGCATGCATACAGTTCTTGTACTTGGGTCTCTGCATGATGTTTATAATTTTTAAGCAACATTGCATTTTGTTTACTGTTAGTTAGTTATTGATTTTTCTCTCCTGACCATATGACAAAAAAATCTCATCTCAGCACTTTTGATGAATTGCTACGCTCTTTTTAATTTTTACTTTCATCTGAATATCAACATCAGTCGAAACAGTTTTGAGGTTAATTGATCTAATTTTGTGTTTCTGGAAAATAGTGATCTATGACATTCGATTATGTTGAATTTCAAAGTTTTTTGTGTCCATTTGTTAATGAGGTATTTGTGGACACATTAATGTTTTTAGATTTGTGGAGTAAAATTTCTAGTTTTTGTTTGGAAGTAAAAAGATAAAATTAGACCCTTGGGTATATGACCTCCAAATTATTGGCACAGAAGGCCCCAAGTGGCATGTTGTCACTAGTGTTATTATTTTTACATTTAATAATTATTGTAATTAATGGGGTTGTTATTCAGTATTTCCATGAATTAGATGTACATTTCAGACATCTTTGCTTTCATTAAAACCTAGGTTAGTTGAGTGAAATCATTCAATTTGCATTCATAGTGTTATGACACATCTTCTAATAAAATATGGGTAATTAAATATGTAAATACTCATATGCCTATGTGTCACAGAATAATTTTACCTTTCAGATGAATCTCTTTTACTGGAATTCTGCTTTGTCTGTCATCGGTTATTCGATTATTCATCTAAATTGTTAAAATTCCATTTTAAATAGAATAGTTAATTTAGTATTTTATATTAATGACAAATATATAAATATTGAATGATATCAAAAGTCAATTATACGTGCTGTAAAAGTTTAGCCGGGGGAGCTTTTTATCCCAGGTAGCGGGTCAACTTACCCCAGTAGTGGGGTAAGATGGCCTCTTTGAATAATTTTACATTTTGAGCAACTAAATTGCACTTATCGAGTTATGCTTTGTAATAGTCCCTGGTTTGTTTACAACCAACTTTCTTTAAAAAAAAAAAACATTCAGGCACTGAAAGGTCTTTGCTTTCCCAGCATACTCTGCAGATTTAACACATTATATTGTGAACCAAGGATGTGTGCACCTTTGAAGATAATTTGTGTAATTTCAGTCATTTTGTCTTGTGGAGCATGTAATGCAACCATTTATGATCACTCATGTTTGAAAAAATGCTAAATATCTTACAGATTTGGCAAGGACTAAGCTTAAGCATTATAAGCACAGCTATTTAGAAAGCATGATTTGTTATCGAGGGTTGATCATCAGTAAAGAAATACCTGATATGTGTATATTCCAACCCTCTTTCAGTTCAGACCTGCATCAGTGAATAAGCTTTGATGTCCTTTATAGAAGAGCATATGTCTGAGAAGCATAAAAATCAGAGCACCTCATTATGAATTATTTAATGTTACATGTCTGTGTGCACTTTGCATGTAATTCAATATGTTATTACATATGTGTTACACATAAAAGCATGTAATTTTTAGCTCATTTGAACAAGAATAAGTTCAATAATTCTATTTGCCTCACTGGATAATTGAATTTGAAAAGAATTTTCTTTTTTAACTAGTATATCCAAATTCCAAATGTCATATATTTAATCTTTCGTTAAAATTACCACTAACATAATGCTTCCATTTTATTTAAATGGCTGTAAGCATTTTTACATCTCAGTGTGGTGCACCATCGTTTTTCTTTCTATGCAGCATTATTTATGTATGAATTTTGCCATTCCAGTGAAATGGTATCTTGAAAAATTTCTGAATGTGTGAAGTTACTTGTGCAATTTATCGGCAAGCATATAACATTATCCTGGGTATTTGTATAACCAAATTAAACCTTCCAGATGAGGAATGAACCTGGAGATCTAGACTTAATTACACATTTCTTATTCATACTTGTTCTTTTTATCCTGATATAACCATAATGGTTTCTGTTTATCCAGAAGATGGAATTCTTATGTGAGTTATACATAAGAACCATATACATTGTCGCCTTTGTGTTTCCAGGCAACACGCAGTCATGGAAGAACATGTGAAGGAGAAATCTCAATTAAGGACAACCTCTGAATCCCAGCCTGCCCACTGATTTATTCATATGCACAGTGCATATCTAAGGTAATTAAAATATGTAGAATTGATTAACTGAAATAAAAGCACATACAAAGATTGAATGTTGTCAATATCGATGCCATATCGATATACCACCATATTCACAAGCCTTGCTGAATGTCACATACCATCTTTACTGTATACCGGGGTTTGCATGATATTTAGTGATTCAGTAATTTTCTTATATAGTGGTGTTATTTCCTGTTTTTTTACACGTTTGATGTCCTAAATCTTGTATTTTTTGTGAGAATAGAGCAATAATGTAATAGAACAAGTAGTGAGAAGTACAGAATAAAGGATATTTACACAATATCACCTATAGAGGGCGCCAGATACGCAACAATTCTCCACCAATGCACCAAACTCCAAGGCGTTCTCTTTGTGCGTATTAATAATGAACTTGATAAGGAGACAGATTGCAAGGCTTCTCACTTCAAAACAATTAGTTTTTTTGTCACGCCAGAACACTTGCATAGTTAAACACTCAAAGCCTAGACGTGTTTAAACCCATTCTCGTATACCGTGCTTGTTTAGTTCCAGAACTTTTTGATAATTCTGGAATAATTGCTGGAGTTACATTTTAAATGGTTTGAGACAGATGAAAGGTACAGAAGCTGTGCAAGAGATTGCTTTGATCTGCAAATTTCAGAATCATCGCGTAAACATCCTCTGGCTAAAGAGAAGGGTGTCGAGATGGTAAGAAAGAAGAGTGTTTAGAAGCGATTATGGAGTGTCCCTTGTGTGATCATAGTAATAAATATTTATATATGTCCAAATATGCAGATAAATATATTTTTCAATAAAATCTGCTAATTGCTTATATATGTGACGCTAATAATTTTCTATATAGTTTTATTGAAGATGCTACTATTTTAAGACACTATTTGTCTGATTAATTAATATTACTAAATTTATTAATAAACTAAAGCACCCATGTAGTTTTGGAGCCTGTTGATTTGATAATGAGTAATTCTCTTTCTGCATATTCCCTCCTTCCATTAAAGTGATTTATATATACAATCCCTCCCCTATGAGTGTCTATTTGTATAGCTCCTCCCTAAATGAGTGGTTTCGCAGGGAATGATGCAGTGGTTGGTGAAGGCGTTTTGAGCTCTCGAATTACGCACGCAAAGTTGGGAGCAGAGGCGCGCGGTGGAGATATATTTTTTTTCCGGTGACTTACCAAAGACATTAAACGAATTTTGGTAAGCAGATTGGTGTTTGCTCGTGAAATTAGGTGGCAATACATTCCTATATACTGCTCCGAGGAGAGGGCGCGCCACGGGAACGCGCTTTGGGTTTTCTTTAAAATATCAGGCATAAGCCTAACATTATGAGGTGCAGCCATGGCAGGCAAGGGTAAGACAGCGGCGAGGACGCTGGAGGATTTAACGCTCGATTCCGGTTATGGTGGAGCAGCGGATTCCTTCAGGTCGTCCAGCGTGTCGCTCTGTTGCTCGGACACGCATCTTTCGTACGCGCATGGGGGCAACTGCTGGCATCTGACTGAATCCATGCACAGCAGACACAACAGTTTGGACACGGTCAACACCGTCCTGGCGGAAGACACGGAGATCCTGGAGTGCTCGGGCCAGTGCGCTAAACTGCCCGAGCTGGAGGAGGACGTGCCGTGGAGTCTTGGAGAGGTGGAAGGCGCGCTGCGCAAAGACGAGGAGCTGTGCGTGGGGAACGCGTCGCGGGAGATCCTAGCCAAGCTCTCCGCGCTGGTCAGCCGCACGCTGGTGAGGATCGCCCGGGAGGCTCAGCGCCTGAGCCTGCGTTACGCAAGATGCACGAAGCACGAGATCCAGAGCGCCATCAAAATGGTCCTCTCGTGGACCATCTCCGTGAACTGCATCACTGCGGCGCTCAGCGCGCTGTCGCTTTACAACATGAGCACGGGTGATAAGTTCAGCAGGGGCAAAAATGCCCGATGCGGACTCGTCTTCTCCGTAGGGAAGTTCTTCAGGTGGATGGTGGATAGCCGGGTGGCCCTGCGCATCCATGAGCACGCGGCGATCTACCTGTGCGCCTGTATGGAGAGCCTGTTCAGAGAGCTGTTCATCCGTGTGCAGAGGAGCGCGCTGGTGGAGAAGGAGAACGGAGTGCCAAAGTTTTCAGTGGAGTCCCTGGAACAGGCCATAAATAACGATTCGGAGCTGTGGGGTCTCTTGCAGCCGTACCAGCACCTCATTTGTGGCAAGAACGCAAGCGGTAAATGTTTTTATTTTATTTTTTTATACACACTTTTTCGTCTTGCTAATAGTCACACTTAATATTTAGAATGTGCTTTATATTCACATCCTTCTTGTCATTGATTCCTGCTGGTTTTATGATGCAACTACAATTGAAATGCACCTGAACTTAGTCACAAACCTAATTTGAGGTCAGTCAACAGTTGTTCTGTCCATCCACCTCCTACCTGCATCCTTTTTTGAAAGCACTATTGAGAGGGTGTTTCATAATAGTTGCTAGCATAATCAGATCCCTGCACTTCCTCGCTAGCATATTGTGTATGATGATCCATAAATGTGTTCTGCTTCTCTGCAGTACGGTTGACTTATTTATTTCTCAAGATAAATAAGTTCTGTGGGAGGACATGAGTGAGTCCCAGCAGGGTGTTTGTTTTCAGACTTCTTATTCATTTAGACACTGTAACAGGTGCAAACACAACAGGAAGGGCTTCACACTGTTGTGCCGCAGTCCCTTTTTTCCCTCCACCTGTTGAAACAAACTCGTTTTTGGCTTCTGCCATGAGGGGCTTATTTTGATGACATAATCAAGGAGTCTTATTAGTAACATTTAAGGTTGTTATCCATTTCTGAAAGTGATTATCAACTATAGTGAGCGATCAGTTTGGGATTGGTATTTTTTTATGGTTGAGGCAGATTCCAGCAAACCATAAAGATTCCTACTATGAAATTTCACACTTTGCTATTCATGATGCAGCTCCAGTTAACAGTTGTTTTACATCACCACAGGCCACAGGCATGTGCTTTCTCTGGTGTGATGAATGTTGGAGAGTTGACCGAAAGATCTGAAGAATAGAGCTGAATGTCCAGCTTCACATTAACACTGTTTGCATCCGTTCTAGCCACCCTAGTCATTGGTTTGAAAACTGTTATCTTTTTCTCACCTTCATGTCATTCCAAACCCGTATACTTTTATTCCTTCTGTAAAACACAAAAGCAGAAATTTGGGAGAATGTACCAGTTGCTCTTTTCCATTGCAATGAATGGAGACTGAAGTGAACATAGACTTTGACTATACTTGCATTGATAAAAAAAATATATATTTTTCAAATAAAAACAATTCTTTTGAACCTTCTACTCATCAAAAAATCTTGAAGAAATGGGTCACTTTTACATCTTTTTTAAAAGCTTAAAATCTCCAGTTTCCATTTATGGTGCTTTCCCCTGTACAATTTCACCTTTTATGTGCCATGCAAGCTGGCCACCTTTCCAAATGCTGAGCTTTTGGCACCTTTCCTGCAAGGCCTCTTGTGTTTCTTGTAATGTCACTGTGGCTTTATAAGGTTCAATTTTGGAGCAAATTGCTGTTGCTCTTAGGAGCTTTTAGAGTACAGTGATTGCAGCACTGGTTAGTGATCTGCTCTTATATCTCAACCTTATACTATCTTGAAGACATAAGACAGCTCTTTATGCATGAGCATGTCTATGCTTGTAATGCATTACTGATTTGTTGATTGATTGATATATTGGGGTTTCTCCTGTATGATTATCTCATTTTCTCCCTTTACCCTTGTTCTTTTCATTGCCGACTCCCCGCCTGTCTCAAATACGTGAAAGCCTTTTCAACAGTCTATAGTTAACTTGAATAGCGGTTATGGTCAATTTTTCCGTGGCAAACCCAGCAGGGTTGATTATCGACACACGTAACTGACTGACCGTTTTCACAAATAATGCTCTCTTCTTGCAAGAAAGAAGGAGAACAAAGAGACCAAGTTAAAGTGAAAGATGTGGAGGGACAAATTGAAAAAATGACAATGTCAGGAATGGGTGGAGAGAGGTGATGAAGGTGAATAAAATGATACTGAAAGAGAAATGACTTGAGATGAGACGGCGAAATGAGAAAGTTGGAAGAAAATTAGCGTGAAGACACCAATATTAGGATAAAAGAGCAAGAAGGACTGTTGATGGGGTTTTTTTGTGTCACATGTAGGAGGTAAAAAGAGCAGACTGTGAGTCCCAGATAAGCCAAGAAAATGTCATTTTGGTTCTTGATATGAAGGGTTTTGTTGCCTCCCGCGAAATATTGCATCTTTTCAATTTCGTTCGGGAGCACAAGCTTTCCCTCCACATCTTTTATTGATGTATAGCTAATGTCGCTCCTCGATTTTGGTGTAATTTGTTTTTCATGAGTTGCTGACAGCAGTCGTTTCACTTGTTACTTGTCAATATATGCTACATGTCAGTCAGGAAATGTGTCCCTTTAGACACCTGAAAAGTGAGAGGTATAGTTGCACCGCCTAAATGTGCTTGTGAAATGTTGCTTTGGGGTGTTTTGAACTCGAAACCAAAGCAGCAGACGGTCAGCTGGCTCAACTGAAGCTTGTAAAGTCTTTGATGTATCATGTTGAATGTATGGCAGATTTAGGACAGACAGAGCTGTATGTTTTGGAGATTTAAAATGCAGTGAAGAACAGCTGGAGGCCCAACTTATCAACTTACAAAATCTATAAAGTAATCAAAAACATTACTGTTATATGTAGACTAGCGTTCAAAAGGGTCAGTTAATTTTTTGCAACATTTTGGAAAGTCTTTTATTCTCACCAAGGCTGAATTTAAAATGCAGTTAAACAGTAACATTGTGGAATAATTTCCCAATTATATATAATAACTGTTTTCTATTTGAATATACTTTGAAATGTAAATCCATTCCTGTGATGGTAAAGCTGAATTTACAGCATCAATTTAGTCTTCAGTGTCTCATGATCCTTCAGAAATCATTTTATGATATGCTGCTCATGAAACATTTCTTATTATTACCATGCTGAAACAATGTGCTGCTTAATATTTGATTGAAAACCTTGATACATTTTTTAGGATACTTTGATGAATAGAACGTTTAAAAGAATAGCTTTTATTTGAAATTGAAATCCTTTGTAACAATATAAATGTCTTTTACTGTCTCTTTTGATCAAACCAAATCAAATCTGATTCACTGAAAATAATCAAAAGAAGGATTCCGCAATATTCAGTAGAATTGAAAATCACCAAATATTTTGATGGTGCTTTTTTCCCCAAATTCTGTGTTGCATTTTCAATTTCCTGTTTTCTGTTTTAATGGTTTGATTAAATGTTAGTGCAAGAAAGAAATTCATATGAGTTCTGAGTAAATTATCACAATTTTCGATATGAGTGAACTATCCCTTTAAGTTGCTGTGTATTTCTAACAGCACCTGTTTATATGATCAATAAGTTACGACAACATATGTTTTTACAATGCTTTACTCATCAAAATAAGTTAAGCAATTTTCAACTTTTCTTGTAAGTTATACCAGATTCAACTAATTTAAGTCAGTTTAATGCAATTTAAGTTAAATTGACTTAAACATCCAAGTTGATTGTACTTAAATATTCAACTTTTTTTTTTACAGTGTACAGTCAAATGAGAGCAGAACTCCAAAGCTTGTGTTAGTCACGATTCATCCTGTAGTCTGCTCTCACATCATCTCTGTGCTCTGATTGAGCTCGACCCTAACGTGATGTCAAAAATAATTTCCAATTTTGACAATTTAGAAATGTCATGACCTGCCATGTATTTCTGTTCCAGTTACATATTAGTTTGCGTTTAAATCAGCTGCGGATTACTGTTTGTAAGACTTTGGTTACTAGATGCTGGCGTCGTCCACATGACGTATTGGTGGGGTCTGCTTAGTCAGTGTGCATGGTGTGCTGCCCCCTGACCTCTCTGAAGGATTAAACTGTAAGAATGCTGTTCCAGCAGGTGGCTGATGAGTATATTCTGAGCCCACGCTGAGCTCAGGCCAACGGTGAAACACACTTGTCAGCCGTGATTCTCTACAACACTCCTCTTCATGAGGGCTGGAGCACGGACAGCTCGCTGCCAGATTTCTCCCACTCCACACAAGCCTTTGGGGACCGTTTAACTCATTGATACACCTTGCTTTATAATGAACTTTATAATGAACAAAATAATGTGGAATTTTAATATCGGTTACATATCGGTTATCGGACATAACATGAAATGTATTATTGGCGTATCGGCTAGAATACGCCAATAATCAATTTCATGTTATGTCCGATAACCGATATGTAACCGATATTAAAATTCCACATTATTTTGTCTAAATAAATAATAATGAAAAACTTAAATTGCTTTAAAGACTAAAATTATGATGACATAAAATATAAAAATATTATAAAGTACTATCATTTTAAATTTAAATTCATTGCATTAACAGTTATTCAATTATTACCGTTTTTGAAGATTAAAGTTAAGTGAGCATTAGATTACGGCAAAGGTAATCTCAATGTAAAACTAGGGAAAATATATGTTTAAATATTCAATATCGACCAATATTATTAAATATATATATAAAAAGAATTGTCTCATAACCAAAATATTACATTGAATCCATAATTTCAAGTTAGTTCAGATTTAGATGTGACCAAACTTGATGACTGAGTTGTGAATTTGTTCTTGAATTGTTTACTTTTTGATTATTTCATCTTTGAAATAATTGGTTGAAACAAACAGTTACTTATTGGTTGTGGACCATTTGCAAATATAATATAGGCAGCATTATCCTAATGACAGAGGAATCAGCCAATCGGTGACGTGGAGGCACTGCAGTGTTACTTGAACTGGTTTAAATCATTCTCATAATCTCTCATATTTTGTAATATTCTTGTTGTTTTATTTTTATACTGTCAAATTGATGCTTCTTAGGAGGCTCTTGTGTTCAAAAACAGCTAGATGGAGTGAAATCAAATGGAACATGGAAATCAAAAGTTATTTTACACTTGATGCATGGTCTTAAAGAGGACCTATATGCCCTTTTTCTTGATTTTGTTTTTGGGGTCTACTAGAATAGGTTTTCTTGAATGTACGAAAAAATCCATATTATTTTTCACATATTTTACATTATTGCAGAACCTCACTTCCCAAGCTGTCTGTAACGCTCTGTTTAGTTCCAGTCTCGATGAAGCCTTTCCTTCCGAAAAGCA